CCCTCACCCTTCACAGCCGCCAGCGGCACCCGCAGCAGCTCCGTGAGCCGCGTGGGCCCAAACATGTGCAGTTGCATTGCCATCAGCGCACCTAGACCGTTCGTATCCACGTCAGGTACGGGCAACGACACGCCGTACAGCGCCAACGCCCCCGAGTCGTAACACACAGCCAGATGCCCCAACGTGTCCGACCAGTGCAGTCGTACCGGCGAGGAGTGGTCATCCGGATCGGAGGGAAGAGTCACCTGTGCGGGGAAAGGGGGGGAGGGGGGTTTGTTCGGTGTGTGGTAACTAACACAGCAGCCAACCGGTTCCTGTTCGCCATCACCATCCCCACCGCCACCAGCCCCTTTGAACCACACACACAAACACACACACGTACACACACGAGTACACATACGCACGTACACTCACCGACGCCAGCAGTGTCAGTCCGGACGTCTTGATGTCCACCTCGTGTACGGACAGGGTTGTACGGGAGGCGGCAGCAAGCAGCCTGCCGCTGGTGGCCACCACCAAACCGGATTCCTGCACGCACCCAAAGGGGGTTGGGGGGGGGGTATTGGGGGGAAGGAGACCACACCACACCACACCAGCGGATCGGGGTTTGGAAGGGGGTGGAGTAGGGGGATGGCTTTGCGGAGGGAAAAGGAGGGGGCCTCCAAAGGGGAGTGGCGGAGGGGGGAGGATGCCACTTGTGCGTATACGGTGGGCGGGAGGCGGGAGGTGCCTTTCAACTAAAGGTCATCCGGGAAACTCGTAATAACCTTGCCACTCCAGTCCCCGTAATACATGCCTTGGCTCCAGGCTCAGGCGCATTATTGTCGTAATAAATAATAATGTTATTATTATATAATATATTGTACAAATAGTTTTTAATAGTTTTAACAGTATTAATACGATAATAGGATATTTATTATCTTTGTTGTTATTTGTTATATTACATAACGGGGGGTTGGCGAGGGACAGAAACACACACACGTACACACAGAGGCTTCGCACCAGTGCTCCTTGCTCCTAGCACCCACCATGGCAGTGATGGGGGAGGTGTGTGTCCGGTCCGAGCAGGTGCTGGAGGCGTCTCTCGCACTCACCACCCGCAGCTCACCGTCGGGTAGGGCCAGGGCGGCGAGGCCGGCTGCATGGCGGAACCGGGTGCAGGGTGGGGGTGCAGGGTGTGTGTGTGGGGGGGGGGGCGAAAATGGGTTGTGCGGGGAGCTACACACAAACACACAGATGTGAGCGCCAACCGATCGGGACCCTGCCTGCCTGTCCCCCTCTATGTTTCCCTGTCTGCCTGTCTGTCTGTCCATCTGTATGGCTGGGTGGCTACATTGGGGCGACCTGACCCCCTCACCTATGCCCAGGGGTTTGAAGAGCGACGTCTCCGGGGGCACCTCCAGCACCGCGTGAGGGGCGAACGTCTGTGTGGTGAGGAGGGGGGAGGGGGAGGAGGGGGAGGGGGAGGAGGGGGAGGAAGCGGCGGTGGAAGCGCAATCAAGTGTGCATAGGTGCACGGAGCGGTCCAAGTAGCAAGCCTAGTTGGGTGTTGGGCAGGTTGGTTAGTCAGGCAGTGGTGGTTATGGTAGTTGTGGGTAAGATCTGACATGGGGACATTGGCCGAGCGGCAAGGAAGGCCTCCGTACTCCACCCCGCTCTATTTCCTCGTCGTGTGTCATTTTATGGGCCAGTCGCCTTACGAGGTCCCTCCTGTGATGGGACGTAGTCTCCCACACAGCCGTATGCCGGGAAGCCGAAGCGCGACAGAGAGCGGCTCTGCCACGATCACGACGCGAAAACGTGGAAGTGGAGTGGAGTGCGCTTCCCCCTGCTGCCCGGGGCCTCCTTTTGCTGCACAGAGGCCGTTTGCTGCTCAGTATGCGGGGGGGGGAGGACGGACGGCTGTGGGGGGCTGTGGGGGCGCTGCCAGGTGATACACAACTAGCAGACAAACACAGAGAGCGGACAGACCCGGCTTTGCAGATTTCCTCCGCTCCACACTTTTAGAGAGATTTTTCTCTGGCTTGGCTCGACTGGCGGCCTTGCCTATGCCGTCCCATACCCTATGGATATGATTTGGTTATGATCTGCCTACATCAACACACCCAAACCATAACGAACGCCACGCCAGCTGCGATGCAGTGCAAAGGGCGATTGCTCATGAAACCGATGCTGGGGCATGTTTTGGATTGGGAGCTATCACAAGTGTCAGGGACGCGCAAGTGATGGTGGTAAATACACTGTGTGGCCTGGGTTGGCACCACCCCGCTTAGACTTGGCAGCAGGACGCCATTCGCAGGAGCCAAGTCCTGTCTCCAGGTCGCTTTCTCCTTACCAGGTTGACTTTCGCTGCCTCCTCGAGCTTTCGCTGCTGCTCTCGCTTGCCGATGAGGTCGACGACTTGCTCGACAATGTCAGCTAGAACCTTGTCTATCATGCGGAAGGGCTGTGGCAACTTGTCCACAGCCCCCGCGGGATCCCATAATGTTGGTAGCGGCGGCATGATCAACTGCCTTCAAGATACCTGTAGGCTAGGCATGGCGCGGGGTCCTGGAAAGACCCCATCTTGAGTTACATTATGCAACATGAGGTATAGTTTTACTACATCAAAATTTCACAAATTAAAAAGGGCTCTTTCAGGTACACTCTGAATTTCAAAGAGCAAAACAAATTGCGTTTCCTAATAAAATCGAGATGTTAAGAAAATTGATTTTGTGCAGTTTGCGATGAACAAACAAATACGTTGCACATGAACAAAGGGGATTTCGAAGGCGTGCTTGTCGTACGACTATATTCCGGATGCAAGGAGTGCGCTTACTGAGCTTGGAGTGTTCGCGCGTTAGGAGGCGTATGACATACACCGTATGCTATCGGTCATGACATAGCAGCCATTAGATAAGTTGTATTACCATTGACGAAGTTATATTTTTACTTCCTCGCGCTCCATAAGACGGGGGTCCCATCCTTTGAATGATTGAAGCATTTTGACCTACATATCGTATATATGTTTTCTTAAGGTTGTATTAACTGCGCCAGGACCCATAACGCAGTGACACCTCGCTCCCATGCGCACCATTGACACGGGTCCGTAATGGAGCCACGTTATAATATTACGCCAGGAGCCCTTGGATCACTAACAATTTACATTAGGATCTGTGGGCGTTGGCTATGCTGTCCAGCGGCGTGCGTGAAGTGCCATCCCTTGACGACGACCTCCATCGCCTGCGGCCTGACGGCTACCAGAGCGCTGAGATGGATGCCGAGGATGTAGAACCTACGGCAACAATATCACCGGAGCCGCGTGCTTGCAGCGCCACGCGCCCGCCAATTCTTCCGCATGCGGCAGACGTCGACGACGACGCGTTCAGCAGGCCCATCAGCGCCTTCAGCATGGCGTCCAACATGACAGAGCCCAGGGTCTCGAAGTTTCGCCGTCGGGTGCAGATCCAGGCGGAAAGCGACGAGGACAACAACGGCCGCAAGGACCGCGAAGACTCCACCACCTCCCTGCCTGCGGCGCTACGCCTACCCGGCCAAACCCACAGCTTCACCGCCCAACACCGCATCAGCGGCATCGGTGCCGGAACCATGAACCACAATCAAAACGCCAGCAGCTACCGCGTTAGTCCGCTGTCTCCCGCAGCTGGCGGCGGTCCCGCAGGCCCCGGCGGCGTCTCGCCACTGTGGCTGTCATTCGGCCGCACCAGCACCTGCGCCGCGCCGCTGCTCATGCCGCCAGAGGACATGCCGCCGCTTCACCAGGCCGCCTGGTTCAACGACCTGGACACCCTCCTGGAAATCCTGAAAACCTCCTCCAATGCCCTGGAGGGCCTTATCTGGTACAACAAGAAGTTCTACCCCCACGCGGGGGAGGCAGGGGGGGAAGCCGCGGCCGTACAGCGCAGCATCGCGGATCCGAAGGCGCCGCCGCCGCTGCCGCAGGTCGCCAGCATGGAGATTGCAACCTCGGCCCTCAAGGCGCTTCTGCAACGCGAGTTCCTGCTGCATGCGTGCCACCCGCTCACGATTGCGGCGGCGAATGGCAACGAGCGCATCGTAGATGAGTTGCTCAAGGCGATGGTGGAGGAGTCGCAGACCAGCAAGGGGGAGAGCGTGCTGGTCATGACGTGGAGATCGCCGCCGGCGGGGTTGCCGCCCGGCTGCCCCTGGGTGACCCCGCTGGCGGCGGCGGCGCTGTCGGGCAGCGGCGAGTGCGTACGGCTCATCGCGCAGGCGATTGTACGGCGCAAGTCGCTGACTGAGGACCGCAGTACGTACGGATGCTTCAGGTGCGGTTTGGCGGGAAAAAAGGTGTGCTTTGATTTTGCTTTTTTCGTCTTTTGACAGAAGTGGTGGCATTCCCAGTGGATCACACAACTGATACATGGGCGCTGCCTCCGCGCACTAGGTTTCGGCCGCTGGTGGTGGCGCAGAGCGCGGAAGCAGTGGAGGGTCTATTCAAGTACGGCTGCTGCCACGGGGATACGCTGCGCTACAGCCTTTGTGATGCCGCACGCCGCCTAGCCAAACGCGAAAGCAGCGCCGCCGCCGCTGCTACTGCCGCCGCGGTTGCCGTGCCGTCGGCAATGCAGAAGCATAAGGCGCATCTGCGGCAGCAGCAGCAGCAGCAGCAACAGCAGACGGAGCGCCAAAAGCCTGACGGTGGCGACGGTGGCGAGGGCACCCCGCCGGAGAGCCCCCGTGACGTCAGCGTAAACACAACCGCCAGCGGAGCCGTCGGCGCCACCGCCACCGCAACATCCGCGCAACTTCTGAAGCAGGTACTGCAGAACGGCATCCACGGCAGCGGCGGCGGAACTGCTGGCACGGGAGTGGCGTCCGCACGTCGCTCCGCGACATCGCTAATCCTCCCCAACGCAGGCACTGACAGCGGCGCTGTCGTCGCCCCCGTTGCGGGCGGCGGCGGCGGCGGCGGAGCCACGTCAATCAAGGCTGCTGAGCTAATGCTCTTCCGTGCCCGCCTCTTCCATGACAGTCTCGGCCGACCCCTGGGTCGCGCCCTGTGTGAATTCCTGCCGGAGACGCTGGTGGCTGTGGCGGCGCTGGCCGCCATGGTAGAGCAGGGCCTGCATCCCGACCGCTTCCTCACCCACACCGAACACGCCAACATCACCAGTACCTCGCTGCTCATGGTAATCGTCAGAAACTACCAAACTGCGCTGCGTGCCGCCGCCGGAGGCGGTGGCGGCGGCGGCGGCGGTGACAGCGGCTCCACCGTCGGCGCCACGTACGCCAGCATGCGCAGCGGCGCTTCATTCACGGCATCATTATCGACATCCGCCGCTGCCGCCGCAGCGGCGGCGGCGGCTGTGGCGGCAGCGTATCCCGCCTCCAGCGACCTGTCATCTGCCGTACGCGAGGGCCTGCACACGCTGGCGGCGGGGCTGCTGGCGCACGGCGCCGTCGTGGACCACCCTCCGCGTGAGGGCTGCCGTCAAGTGGGGGGTCACCACATCGCCCCTCCGCACGGGCCAGAGGTTCCGCTACACCACGCCTTCATCCACGGTCCCCAAGAGCTCGTGGTGCTACTGCTGCAGTACAGTCAGCTACATCCGGAGTCTCTAGAGGACTTGCTGGGGCCGCCGCCAGCTCGCACCGCCGCCACAGGGCCCCCGGCTCTTGACGCGCAGTCGTCGGCGGCCCGGGCGTTCTACAGCAGGCGGCCCGGGGACTCAAACAAACAACAACAGCAGCCGCAGCAGCAGTTTCAGAAGCCTAGTAAGGTGCAAGGGCAGGCGCTGCTGCAGCCGAAGCAGTCGTTCCGGGGTGCTGCCGCTGCGGGCTCCGTGCCTTGGGAGGGCGGCCGTAGCTCCCCACTGCTGGCGTTCGGTGCCAAGATGCAGCTGGCCCTGCTGGAGGGCAACTTGCCGCTGTGGCTGCACAGTGGGAGGTGCGGGCTTGTGTTTGTCTGCAGCAGCACCACCAGCAGCAGCACCAGCAGTAGCAATAACAGCAGCAGTAACAATAGCAGCAGCAGTAGCAATAGCAGTAGCAATAGCAGTAGCAATAGCAGTAGCAATAGCAGTAGCAGCAAGACGGGGATGGGATTGGGAAAGAGGTGGTGGAAGGTGGTGGTAAGGAGGGACTGCTGCAGCCGGGGTGGTAGTGGTAGTGATAGTGATAGTTGTGGTGGTGGGCAGGGTTGCGAAGTAAGGCCGGGGTGGTGGGCAAAGGCACCCTTTTTCCTAACTTAAAGGAGGCTCGTTGCCATCCTCCTCACCTCCCTCCCTGCCTCCTGCCCGCAACGCGTCCACTCACACGAACAGGTTTGCTGAGCTCGTGGAGGACCTGATCAAGGCCAGCATCGCGGCCGATGCGCGCATGGTCACCAGCGACCTCACCTGGCTGGTGGTCGAGCTGTTCGAGCGGTGCATGGCGCGAGAGTTCGGCAACCTGGGCCAGGTGCGGGCTGCGAGGTGCGGGCTGCGGGGTGAAGGGGAGGAAAGACATAGGTAGGTGCTTCTTCACTGCTGTTTGGCCCTGCGCGGCATTCATTTGCTTCAGCAGCCGCGTACCTGAGTACATGTATACCTATGTCGGGGTCTGGTACACGGCTGCTCCCGCCGGGTGGATTTACTCACGTGCCTCATTCCCTCACGGCAATCCCTGGAGTCTGCGTGTGAGGTCCTGCGGTTTTTGACCATGGTGTTTTCGATGCACCTGCAGCTGCGACTGCTGGATCGAGGCAGCAGCGCCAGTGACGAAGGCGTCAAAGGCGGCGGCGGCGGCGGCGGGGACGGATCTCAGGACAACAGCAGCCATAGCCGCAGCGGAGGCGGTGGGGAGGCACAGCCAGGGTCCCGTAGGGCACCTGGCGCCGCGTCGCCGCCACAAGATGCTGTCATAACCGTGGATCCTGTCGTACCGGCTGTTGAGGAGGGCAAGGCGGCGGGCGGCGCCGCTACGTCTGTGCAGAGTGGGGAGCATCATGGGAACTGGGGTGTACGGAGGCCCGGGGGGCATCCTGCACATCACGTATCGGCGGCGGCGGCGCCGCCGCCGCTTGACAAGGATAAGAAGACTGGTGGCGGCGGCGGCGATGGTGGCCGTGAGGAAAGGGCCAGCGTCGACGGCCGTGGCGATGAGTTCTTCAGTGATGACGTCGGCGTCGACGGCGAGGTGTCCTCGGCGTCCTCGTCCTCGGGCTCCTTCACCTCCTCCGGCAGCGACTTGGACGCCGACGCAGCGAACTCCTGGCCGCGGCGTCGCAACGGCAACCAGCCGTACTCGTTCCTGACGGCGCCTGAGGACAGCACCACTTTGTCCATCGTACACAGCTTGTACCGCAACACTGCCGACGCAATTACGTCACTTCACCAATCGCTGGCGGGCGGAACCGTGGGAGGGCCCCGGGCAGCGGCGGCCGGCGGCGGCGGCGGCGTCTCCGGCGCCACCTCCGGCTCGCTGGCCACCGCCGCGGCGGCACTCGTAGACTGGACTGTGCTGCTTCGTCTCGTTGCTCGTATCGCCGCCACCACACTCAACCCACCCAAAAGCCATGGCGCCGTCGCCGGGCAGATCTCCGTCTTCACGACAGCCAAGGCGGTCAACCAGCTGCTCTACGCGCGCGACTGGGCGCGGGGCAATGACGGCGGTGACGACGACGACTGCGGCGGTGGCGGCGGCGGCGGCGGCGGTCTCTGCGGCAGCCCGTCAGTCGTCGACATCGACTTGCTGCGCGCCATCGCGCGCCGCCACCCTCACGAGTGCGCTCGCTTGATACACGGCATGGATCTCATCCGTGTGGAGCTCAAGGGCTATCGCTGGGACAGCATTCCCATGAGCTTGGATCAGGACTGTTACGCAGTGCTGACGGCAGGGGAGCCCGTCAAGCTTAGCAACCGGCCGCCGACGGTGGCGGCCGCCAGCGTCGCGGCGGCGGCCGCCGCGGAGGAAGAGCAGCGCCGTGCCGTCGCCGCCGCGGAGGCGGCCGCTGCCAAGGGCCTTCGTAAGGCCCTCAAGGCCCGCGCCAGGAGCCTTAAGGGCGGCGCCATAGCACCAGACGGGGGGGAAATGGTGGGCGCGGCTGCGGCGCCGCCGAGGCTCCAAGGCTTGGGTGGCGCCGGCGCCGCTGCCTTCGAAGATGAGCCCCTGACACGTGAAGACATTTTGCAGGCTTGCATATTCTCCAACATGTGGACTGTGCTGACGCACTTCATGTTGTCGTCGCTGCGGCTGCCGACCTACATGCGATCGCTGCAGCGGCTCCGCAACGAGACCTATAAATACGCTGTGCTGGGCCAGGTGCGCTCGGATGCGTTTCTCGCTGGAGCGTCAATTAGTACCCGGGCTTGGATGTGACAATGGGGGGGGCGCCAAGAGTGTGACTTTGTGTGTCTATCTGTGGGGGAGGGGAGAGAGGAGGGTAAGACGAACCACACTGGCGAATAGAGGGAGGGGAGGGGAGGGGAGGGGTCATGTCGTGACAGGGGGGCCCTATACAAAGGGAGAATGAGGAAGCTCCGCGACCCCGACTCACCCGGCCTGCGTCCCTTGTGGCCAGGAGATAACTCCTGAACAGCTGTATTTCCACGTAAACTCCTCCCCGTGGACCTAAAACCTGCATGTAACAGCGCTTATAACAGCTTTGAAATTCGCCGGTTTAAGCGGCTCCAAAGTAATGCTAATGCCGTGCTGACATACAACTGCAAAACCCGCCCGTCCCGCCGGACCGCCCGCACGGCCACAACCTGCAGCTGACCCAGTACGGCAGCATCCCGACGGTTCTTAGCATGGGTCTACTGCTAGGCCTGCTAGGCCTGCTTACCCGCGGCTTGCAGCGTGCCGTACGCCTTGTCGGTAACCTCATCCTGGCTGGCTACGTTCGCCTGGAGGAACGGCTACAGCCCGCCATGAACAATGTCGGCCGACGGCTACAGCTGGGCAAGGTCCAACGACGGTTTGGACGAATGGTACGGCGGGTTGGCGATCAGCTGGCCACGCGCGCGACGGGCGGCGGCGTGGGAGACGTCATTGGCATGGGCCTTGGGGGCCCCAAGGCGCTCATGACGGTGCGGATTATCCCCCACTACCTGGCATTCCTGGGCGTGCTGTTGGACCGAGACGCGCTGGCGGAGCTGTGGCTGGGCGTCACGCAACGTCTCAGCCGGAGCAGCAGCCGCGGCGCGACGAAGATGGCCGGCGGTGGCAGCGGTGGCGGCGGAGGGGCGAGTGGTCGGGATGGAGCCGGGGGGGCGGGAGGGGGAGGAAGTGGAGAGGGCGATGGACCGGCGCCGGCGTACATGAGCTGGCGTACGACGCGTGTGGTTTGCAGTAGGGTGCCGCTGGCGTGCGCGGCGGCGATGCCGTCGGGGTTGTTGTACAAGCTGGCGTCGTCGCCACAGGTCAACGGGGAGCTGTTCGCGTCGCCGGTGATGCGCGCCATCATAGTTTGGCGCTGGCAGCACTTCACGCGGTACTTTTTGCTGCTGCAATTCCTGGAGCACATCATTTACATGGCGTTCTTTATGGTTTACGCGTTTTCGCTGTCTTACAGTCCACAGATGTTTACGAAGTTGCTGGGTGCAGCGCGTACGACAGTGTTGGAGGTTGCGGGGTGCGAGCTGGCGCCGTCGGGGCTCCAGGAATTCTTGCTTGTGACTCTTGGCGTCATGACGATTACGTGTGTCATCCAGGAGCTTCGACAGCTGATGTTCTTCAAGCTGGACTGGTAGGTGGTGTGAGGCTGGGGATGGGGGCGAGCGGTTGAAGAGGTCGTGTGCCTTTTTGCCGCCTCTCCAAACTAACCACTATGAGTACTGCGACTGATAGTGGTATGGATACGGATACGGATACGGATACTAGTGCAATTTGTGTTTGAAGTAATCTACCTCCTCACATCCAGCGGTTTAAAGAGGTCGCCGTTTCATCCGGAAGAAGTGCGGAAGTTACTATTTATTCCTTCCTCTCCGGCCTCCTCATGGTCCTCGTTTTCACATGTTGACAACGCACCCATAGTTTTAAAAGACATCGCCCTAGGTGACCCCCCGACCTCTACCCCCCGACCTCTCCAACCCCCCCCCCCCCCACACACACACACTGCCCACCAGGCTCCGGCAGCCCTGGAACCTCATGGATCTCGCCTCCAGCACCATCATGGGCGCCATCATCACGCTGCACCTCAGTTGCGGGACGAAGGCCGAGTGGCTCAGAGGGCTGGCGGCAATAGAGGTATGGTACTGTAGAATGTACACATGTATGTATGTGGGTGGGGTGTGGGTGTGGGTGAAGGTTACAAGTATCTGACCGGGCCTGACTCTGGCCAGGGGCTGCTGCCCAGCCCCAACGGAAAGACCGCCTAAGCTCTCTCCCTAAGCGGACGGGGGAGGGGCGCTAGAGGGGCCTCTGTCCCCTACTAAGCATAGTCGGGAGCCGCAGGTCCGCTAGCTCCACTCTCCTCCCCCCCCCCGGGTTTGGGAGGCGTCGCACGCTCTCACGAGTCAAGGCTCCGTCACGCAAGTTTGCGCACTGAGCCTGAAACACACAACAAGACTCCTCTCCATCCCCGGCCTGATCCGGCTCTTGGGGTGAGGGTTCACTAAGATAGAAGAAACCCGCACAAACCCTACCCCTCCCTACTAAGGCACGAGGCCCTATTAGAAAGCCCACCCGGTCTCTTTACCCGATTCTCCGTTGGGGGGGGGCGGGAAGGGTTCAAGAAATCCGCGCTAACCACCTCTCGAGTGCACACGACGGGGGGCGGGCACGGACTAGGCTAGCAGCTACCGACCAGCACACCCGACGGGGCTAGGGATGCCTGGGGGCAACAGCACCACACACTCGCGGCACAACTCACACGCAGCGTCACCCAGCCCGCTCTACCGCCACCGCCTTTGCGTGCTATTCCTCCTGCGTCTGTCCGTGCCCGTATTTGTGTATTTACCTTTTTTCCCCCGTTTTGTGTGGGGCCCGAATGACAGGTGGCCCTGCTATTCATGCGACTGCTGTACTTTGCGATGGCAGACGACCGCCTGGGCAGCTTCTTTAGGTAAGGACGGAGGGGGGGAGGAGAATGGGCTTTAGGGTTAGCCGCACACTAGGAGGGCACGGCGTATGTACATTTCGAGGACGCGTTGAGGGAAGAAAAGCAAAGCAAGTGCGCCAAGGTGGCTAACCTTCATGGTTGCCGGTGGAAGGAGGGGGGGTTTAAGGGGTGAGGGGTGAGGGGGAAACGAACACCTCGGCATGCCTTTGTGGGGGGATGGGGTTCCAGGGTCTGGCACTGGCACATTACTACATTACCACATTACCCCCACGACGTCGGGGCCCATCACCATGGTTTCTTTGCTTTTCTTTGCACCTGGCGAGTGAGCCACTCGGGCCGAGCGGGCGCTTTCCCCTGATTTCGTGTTCATCATCATTCGGTCATGACCCCTTCTCCCCCTGTTTCTCCCTGTGCCTTCCCTTCCCCTCCTGTCTCTTCCCTCCTCCTCTTCCCCCCCACCCCACCCCCCACAACCCTAACAACAGGATGGTTATCGAGGTGCTCCGGGACTGCTGGCTGTTCTTCGTCTTCCTAGGTCAGTACTGCTCTCAGTGCTGCTAATGATGCTTATGATACTGCCTTGCATCACCATCACCATCACCATGGCCATCACCGCCGCCGCGAGCACCAACAACAGCAGCTGCATCCTATTAGAAATAGCATGAGCGGAATTACGTCAGTAGCGGTAACCCGTAGAAGCAGCATTCGCATACTCACCTACCCAACCCCCCTCCCCCCCCCCACACACACAGTTCGTCGCCATTTATGCACCGCGCATGGTCCTGCATTCTCTCCCACTCTCAAATGTATGTGTGTATGTATGTGTATGTGTGTGTGTGCGCCTTGCGGGTGGTCAGGTATTTTGTTCATCGGCTGGGGTCTGGCGCTCACCGTCATGAAGGTACGACATGGGTACGGCAAGGGTTTGGCAGGGGTTCAGCTGGGTATAAGCCTTGCGATGATGAGAGTCAGAAGTGTGAATGCGGGGCCGGAAAAGGGGGGTCATCAAACCCAGCACATGCACACATGCACACACACACACACACATGCACGCACATACATGCACACACGCACACACATCATACATACATACATACATACACACACGACACACGTACCCGCCGCCATGTAATTCATGCAGGGCAAGAGCACCACCATTCAGGAGACCTACCTGCAGCTCTTCACAATGATCTTCGGGGACTTCCAGTTGGCCCTGATGGAGGCCAACAACGCCGGCAGCACGGGGCTGAACCACCTGTGGCGGATGTTCGCGTCGCTGTACCAGATACTGGTGAGGGGGGGACCCGCTTGGGGCAGAGGGCATCTTAGGCTGCCAGCCCCGTCATACATATGTATGTATGTATGTCAACAGGCAGCTGGGCAGGCGAGGGGATCTTAGGGCGCGGGAAGGCTTGTGCGGGAGGGATGTGGGGAAAGAGTGCGGCGGGGGGCTCTAGTGGGCGGTTGGACACACACGCGCCGGGACATTGCGCTGTTGTGCTACGGTGTCAGGGCGATGGTGTATGATGGGAGCACAGGTGGTGCACGTTGAGTGCTGGGTTCGTCTCGCCCCACCTCGCCTCCTTCACTTCTTGGTTGCCGCCGCCGCGATTCGCTCTTCTTCTTTTTCTTTTTCTTTTTCCTCCTCTCAAAACCTGGGGACGGGGGAAGCGCGAATATGTCTGCAAGGAGCTGCGCCGCCTGCATGGCCCTGTTGTCCTGCAGCTTCCTGTCGTACCTTGTCCTGCAGCTACCCACGTCGCCCCCTCCCCTGAACACCGAGCACTGGCCCCCTCCCCTCCCCACTGCCGGGCGCTGCTGGCCCTACATGCAGGTGACCATCATCTTGCTGAACCTGGTACGGGGGGAGCCCCGTGAGGGGGGGTGAGGGGGCGGACCAGTGAGCACCCGACAGCGCTGTGCCGCGTGGATCTAAAAGCACATGTGCTGTTGGTCATGTGGTATAGACACACACACACACACGTACACGCACGCGGGTGCAAAGTGAGGGGTGCTTCCCGTGGGAGCTGGCACACGGCGTACGGTAAACCCCCGGGGCCCACCTCTCATCTTTTCTTTGAGGTTTCGGAGCCACAGCGAGTCTCCATCCCCAGGGGGCCCGGGGTTCTTCCACAGCAGTGCGTCTCCGGCAGCGGCCCCTGACATCTGACACCTGACCCTGTTCATGAGGTCACGGTGCATCTTGGGCAGGCCCCCACCCCCACCCCCACTCCCGACCCCGTGGTTTCTTCCGCACCTCACTCGAACCCCCACCCACTCCGACTCCCCGCCTCCTTGGGTGCTCCCGCCCTCCTCCGTGACGTGGAACACATTCCAACCGAACCCAACAAAACCGCGTTATTGTACCGGACCGACGTACACGCACATACGGCCCGGGATGACCACATCAGCTCATTGGTACGTCGGGGGTTGGGTGGGATGGGGTTGCAGCGTGTAGCCGTTGGGTAGCTGTGGTGGTGGTGGTGATAGTGGGTACCGGAGGGCTTAGGCGGAGAGTCTGTCTATTTGCCTGTCCGCCTGTTTGTTTGCCTGTCTGTCTGCCTGTTTGTCTGTCCGTCTGTCTCTCCGTCCGTCCGTATGTCGCCAAGGTTTAAGGGTCGAGGTCGCTGTCCGACCTCACCTCACCTCACCCCGCACTGCAACTGTGGGAAAAGCAAAAATAGCTTCCGAAACCAACCTGGTAGCCAAGGTAGCTTACTGACTCTCGGGAGACCATTCCCCTCGTTAATATGTGTATTTTCCTTGACACCGTGCCGCCCCGCACCGTATCACCCGCACACTGCGCCGCATGTACCGTTACCCCGACCCTCAGCAATCATCAACGACTCGTACGAGCGCATCAACGACAACGAGGCGTGCGAATCGCTGCGCAACAAGCTGACTCTGATTGTGGAGGCGGAGTCCGTGTTGCCCTCGGGCATGGCCAAGAGGATGTTGGAGTCCCTGGCAAAAACAGACCTCTACGTCATTACGGTGGGTGAAGGGGGAGGGGGGGAGGGATGTTCCTGAAGGGAATAATGTTTACGAGGGGGAAGAGGCCAACAGCAGGGAAATTACTCTGGAGGGGCACAAGTCAAAGTAAGTTGCTAAGCGACGTACTCGGAGGGGAGGGAGGGGACCAGGCTGTTGAGGGGTGGACAGGAGACAAACCGCCACGTGGTCCGGGTCCCGACGATGGGAGGACGGAACCTGATGACGAGGAGAAACTTTGAAACCCTGGGTGGTTGGCCCTTACTGGGACGTGTGTTTAAAACACACCGACCCCGGCATCCATGCATACATACATACATGCGTACATGCAGGCGGAGGCGGCAACCGTGGCTGCCAGCTATGACGCCGGCGGCAGCGGTACTTTGGACGAGCCGGGCTCCGGAACCAGCGGCACCACTCGCCGCGCACTTGCCCCTCCTGCCAGGTTAGAGTTGGGATGTGGTGCTGGTGCTGGCGATGCTGTCCTTTGTTTTTGTTTGGGGGGAAAAGGGGGAAGAGGTTTATGATTCGTGTGGTCCTGTGAACGGCCAAGTACACCTCCACGGTAGCTGCCTGCTTGGGTACCACAATGGTACTGACAGTTCGTATTGGGACAGGACCCCGCGGAATGGGGAAGAAGTGACAGCTTTTATGGGGGGTTGTAATCCCCCGTAATGCCCTGTTTTATGTCTTCCCCTCCGTCAACTCCTCCCTCAAGCCCCACTTTGCTCGCTGGGCCCCTGGGTGTCACCACCAAACACCCCACCCCCCGGGGTCTGTCCCTTCATTGGCGGCCCACACGTAATGACGGCCCACACGTATCGCTGTGTGTACGGCAGGTGGAACGGTCGCTTGTCGGAGACCAAGCGCTTCGTCAGCCACGTCGTGGACCAACTTGCAGCTCAACAGGCCACCTTCCAAGCACGAGTGCTGTCTGCACTGTCCGCAGGGCAAGCCAGTGCTTCAGATGTGCTGCCCGCTGTCGGCGCCGTTGGCCTCCCGGGCGCCAGCCGCGAGGGCGGCGGCGCCGCCGGCAGCGGTGGCTGGCGCGGCGGCGGACATTCCAAGCGATTGAGCACTCTGCCTGGCGGCGGCTTGGGAATGGCCGCGGCTGGAGGCGTCGGAATGCGTGTCGGCGGTGGCGGCGCCGGCGCAGGGGCGTCCCAGCCGAACCAGGGGTCACTGATGGGCCTGATGGACGCGGAGGCCTTGACGGATATGCTGGTGTTGGGTCGGGTACTGCGTGATAAGTTGACAGAGCTGGACCAGGAAAGGGAGGAGACGCGGCGGCGGCAGGACGAGGCGGCGGCGGCGCTGGCGGAGCTGCACAGGACGGTGGAGCGACTGGGTGACCAGGTGGCGCGGTCGGCGGCGGAGTCGGCAGCGGCGGCAGCGGCGGCGAAGGCGCTGGTGGTGAGCGGCGGCCAGAAGAGCCGTAGCGGCACCGGCAGCGGTGGCGGCGGCAGCATTGGCAACGGCGGTGGCGGCAGCGGTGGTGATGAGGTGTTGCTAGTAGAGCGGTCGATGTTGGAGGAGGTGGCGATGCGGGCCGCCGAGCAGGCGGCGCAGCTTGCGGTGCAGGGGGTTCTCCGGGGCTTGCGGAAGGGAGCGGCGGCGAGTGAGGCCTCGCCTGGGGAGAGTCTCCTGGAGGGCCTGGGCTAGGAGGAGGAGGAGGAGGAGGAGGGCCGCTGTGATGCAGCACTCCCTTCCCCATCCCCCCTTCTCTCCCCCGTCCTCAATCAGCTCGGCTCAGCCGCTTGGGGACAGGGGTAAGCGCTGTGTGTGTATGTGTGTGTGTGTGTGTGTGTCTGTGTGTCCGTGTGTGTGTATATAACTTGCAGCCGTGTGATCCTCAGCTGCTGCATTATTCATTTCTACGGGCCGCGTGGAGTCAATCTGGGTTAAGGACTAGAAATATAGCTAAAAAAATCAAGTCAGGAGCTTAGCCTGATGGAAATCAAGGTGGACTCTAGAGGGGGGACTGAAAAAGTCCGACAGAAACACTGATCGACGAAGAGCAAATTCAGGGGGAACCTAATCCATGGCTGAGATCGCCATTATTTGTAAGTTCAGTTCGAAGTGCCCAGCTGGTAGTCCGATAGGCAAGCAGCAGGTGGACAGGACAGGGCTAAAGTTAGGCGGAAGGAGCGGAGCAACGGTGCGGTGGCTTCCAGTGGCTTCATGTGCTGAGCAGTCCTAATATGGGTACTATTAGAAGTGACGGCCTAGGGGTGTGCGGGTGGGTAGGCCTGCGGCGGTGTGCGCAAGCGTAGGCACGCACGTTGCTGGTGCGAGGGAGTGGCAGGACTTGGCAGGAGGGTTGGGGGAGACATGCCAGCCCCCACGTGGTGAAGCGACTTTTGTTGGACACATCACATCATTGGACACGTCATTACTTAAAAGAGACATGTCGCTCGATCGCTCGATGTTCTGGTAGTGTTACTATGTACGCAAATGCCTGCGTATTGAGGTCAGGCGATGATGATGGCGATGATGATGGTGATGATGCGCGCGCGCGTACGTGTATAGACGTGCGTAGGGATGTGACTGTATACGCAGCGGAGCGGAGTGGTTGAACGCAGAACGGTGCACATGCCGGACATCTACATCATCACCTCATGATCCAATGAATTACTGAATGGAAATGTCCGGGAGTCGCATTCCCGGAACTTTGGTGCGGAGTGATCATATAAACCATGCTGGGCATTTCGCTGGGGGCCACACGCCTCTCCCGCCAACTGGGCCTTGTGTCCTTAGCCACCAGTGTAGAAGTCGCCAGTCTTTAAGTTGCCAAGGCTGTTAGTGCTCTCGATATTGGTGTAGTAGGGCGACACTGCTTTCACAGACGCGTTGTAGGACCCTCATGAAGGTCGCGCGTCGTTAGCGCATGTTATCACAATCAAAAGGGGTTGGTAAGAAGTATGGACATGGTTGATTTTGTGTGCGGCACCCTTGGGACGTTTGTTCTTCCCGTATGCATGCTGCCGTTTGCTATGAAGGCAGGAGCTGAGATGTTGTGGGCCCAAAGCCGCCCTTTTGCCTTGCTTTACTTGTAAGCTAAGGTTGCCACGCTCACGAACTACCTAAGTACGATACTACCTGACTCACAGTTGAACCGGAAACTATAATGCAGAAGGTTGAGGTTACCTGTGTCAGCATGATGGATAAGACTGACCCAAGGGTCAGCTGCAAACCAGTGTGCCGTCACTGCACCGCAGCTGCTCACCTACATATGAAGCGGTAGGACAGAACTATGATCTAATGCCCTAGCCACTGGCGTTACTTCTTGCCTTTAACTCTACCAACGTCTCATTACGGTGTCATGAGTTTCAAAAGTATTGCCATCATCATGATTGGCAACCGTCCTTCATAACCGATGCACCTGTAAGCTCCTTCTTCTATCGTGCAGCAGGCTTAGGCGATGGTCACATCGCTTGGTAACAGGAACCCCGTAGATTTTATGAAGCTCATCCGATCAAGAGCCATGGCTCAATGGGAATGATCAAATGAAGTATCTAATGCAGCTGATGGCTCATGTCACACGCACAGCGAGCTCCGAGCTTTGAAATTCTCACTCCCCTCTTCTCCAGGACTGCGTTGCGGCCGGCCATTACAATGGCAATTTCCAAGCTATGTCAGCGCTGGTCTGTAGGCTTTTCAGGCGGGTGGTGCAACACGTGTCGGCCCTGACGACACAATGATCAGGGTCCTCCACCGAAAGATGTCATAAATGTAAAAGTCAAGTTCATATACAAAATGAAAATGAGTATGGAATTTTTTGTTTCTTGCGATTCAAGGAGGCGTTGAGTATTTTGAGACTGGATCAGAAATTGATGGATGAAGAAAAAAGTGCACCGTTCCCACTTTGCCATTCATCTACACGATCGCCACTTCACGCAGCCCAATTGATTCATTGAATTCCACTTTTCCCCTCAAAGTCATTAAGTTGCAGTGATGCTTGCGACGCGTAGCCTTCGTGCTTCGGGTTGCCGGTCCCCAGCGGTGACCCAGCCTCGCCTGGCCCTTGGCCGTGGGCGCCTTGAGATTGTATGCGCCAGCAATGCAAAATTTTTTGTGGGCGGCAACTGGAAGTGCAATGGCAGCGTCGCGAGCGTGCGCAAGCTGGTTGATGAGCTGAACAGCGGCAGCGTTCCGCGCGGCGTGGACATTGTCTGCGCTCCGCCCTTTATCTATATTGACTATGTCATGCAGCACCTGGATAAGGACAAGTATCAGCTCGCTGCCCAGAACTGCTGGATCGGCGGCAATGGCGCGTACACAGGCGAGGTCAGCGCTGAACAGCTGCAAGACTTCGGGCTTCCTTGGGTGATTCTGGGCCATTCCGAGCGACGGTCGCTGTGTGGTGAGACCAATCAGGTGGTGGCGAAGAAGACCGCGCACGCATTGGATGTCGGTCTCGGCGTCATTGCGTGTGTTGGCGAGACCCTGGATCAGCGGAACAGCGGCGCCATGTTTCAAGTCCTGGATGGCCAGATGCAAGCCCTCGTTGATGAGGTCAAGGATTGGTCCAAGGTGGTTATTGCGTACGAGCCTGTGTGGGCTATCGGCACGGGTGTTGTGGCGACGCCGGAGCAGGCGCAGGAGGTCCACGCCTACTTACGCAGGTTCTGCCAGAGCAAGCTCGGGACCAGTGTTGCCGACCAATTGCGCATCATCTACGGCGGCTCTGTCAATGATGCGAACTGCAAGGAGCTGTCGGTACAGGAGGACATCGATGGCTTCCTTGTGGGTGGTGCCTCGCTAAAGGGGTCGGCATTTGTCACCATTTGCAATTCTGCTGGGCCCAAGGCTAAGTAATGAAACTCCGGATGGAAGCACATTAGGGTTTAGGTTGCGCGCCGACATGTCGCGAAGCGATTTGTTGCGGCGCCAGCGAAATTGGCACCGCTTCTTGACTGTACATTAAAGGCTGATCCTGACGGCGCTTGACATTGTCGCCGTTGACTTTTAACTGGGTTCTTTCCGGACGGGTAGGTCGGGGCGCGTGGATGTGAAACGTGGAACTAGCCGCAAGCAAGGGCTACCGATAAAGGGGCAGAAGATATAGACTCAGCCAGTTATCTTTGACCGATTCCGACCTTATTGTCTTGTCCGTAAGTTGTGTTTCTGCTTTGGTGCTCTTGTCGGGAGATGTTTGTTATGTCTTGGGTTAGTGTTTGTTACAGCTGCGGCAACGTTGCCAGAATGTGTCGCGTTTGCCGCCACGTTGCAGCGGCCTTGTTACGCGTTTGTCGGCAACGGCTGCCACGGTGCCATTTGAGGTCGTAGCTATATAGGCTATTTGCAGCTGCCATCATGCGCATCCGCCCAATTTTGTGATTCCCTGGGAGGGTTTGCAGCACAGGCTGCCGTCGGCCGCTGAAAGTCTTTGGAAGTTCGGATTCCGTGGGGCCTGAGGGCTCGGACGGGGCTCCTGCCTAATGGGCGCTTGGGTCCGTAGTCTTGCTGGTTGTTGCAACATTTTTATGTCGGTCTGTTTCGGCTATATAGATGTGTGCGCATCTTGAGGAATGTGTTAAGATGCCTGTAAGCCAACCGGCAGCGTCCGACCTGTACCAAACAGGAAAAGCTCCGTGTACTCGCCCGCGAACGCTGATCCAAGTATGCAGCCTAAGAGCAACACGTGATGTGAACCTAGATGGTATACATCCGCTAGCTTGCCAAGACGCCGACAACAGGCTCCCAAGCAAATCTAACAAAGAACAATATTTAACGAACCTAGCCAGCGAAACGGTTACCGGCGGTTGCTTGTCGGTAACGGTCTGTTTAGTAAATCATGCCAAGAAGCAACAAGCAAGGTGTTGGCAGCCTCAAATTACGGCTTATCTATATAGCCTTGGATTTGATTGATGCAGCGTATATATTCCTAAGGACGCCGATCTGCCCTTGTTGGTAAGCACGGAAAAGCACGTGGACATGGGGGACTCGGCCAACACCAGATCGTATGGATACAACGTAATTTAACTTAACCTTGTAATAGTTCAACTTAACTTTACCAATAGCAGCTATAATGGAAATCTTGGAGGCGTCGCAGGTGCCGGACTTGAAGCCATGTGAACATCAAGCTGGCGGCCACTTTTCCGTGGGTAGGTAATGCTGGTTCGCATCTCGAAAACATATCGGTCGGCCAAGATGCTAAAAATGGTTTTTGCCCTTACCCAGGTAAGCACGCGGCGACTTTCGTGGACAGCTCTGGTAAATTTTACAAGCTTTTCCAGGCAAGTTTCGATTTCTTTGGTGTCTGAGACAAGAGCGCAGGGAAAGAGAGTGACGGCCAACTAACCGTTGCTCCCTGCCCGGCCGTTGGCCGCATCTCTCGCGTCTGAAGTGCAGGATGACGTCCGCAGCGGCCGAGAAGCCAGCATATACGAGGCTATTTTTAGCGACAATGATGACGGAAACGTTCGTAGAGAGGATATGGTGGCATTTCGCCCGCTCGTACCGAGATACTGTGAGTACACTGTCGGCCGGGGCCTAGCGCATACCCCTGTTATGTTCCACCATGGCCCAAAACGTACCGTCTATATTCATGGTTCGATCAGCAGCCGAATCCCCCGGTTACCGTCCTGGTATCACCCTGCTCTGTTGATCGCAGTCGGCGTCATCGTAGACGGCGACAAGAAGCTTCTGGCGCTTGAAGACACATGCAGATCCTATCGGAGGCCCTGCGTGCTGGACGCCAAGGTGCGTCCCCTTGGGTCTGGGGACGTTGGGGGCCTCACAGTGGGCCACGTTGTGGGGTGAGTTGATGGCTGCTCGGAGACATACAGCATGCAAGGAAGCAACCCAGGTGCTCTCGGATCCCTGGTGGTGCACCTACACCCCTGGGAGCGCGGCTGCTTTGTAGTGGGACCCGGTAGGGGCCCTAGGGCCAGTTAGGTTTAGTTCTGATGCGGTAGTAACGTGCACGCCCGGATCGGGCTTTTGCAATTGGTTACTTCTCCGTTCCTCCGGTGCACACGACAACACGGTGTGCGTTGGCTTGGGGATGACGCGTTCGGATGCGTTCTAATGTGCGGAGGTGTTTTTAACAGCAGCAACATTGGATTTAAGCGGGGCAAAAATCGTGGAAAATCGGCTTGTTGATGTTGCTGCCCTAATGGCGCTAACCCAGATGGGCCTCACGACGATCTACGAGTGGGCGGAAGAGAGGTACAAGGCCAAGAACGCGTGAGTGACGGAGTGGAGGTGGAGGTCTGCGGAGGGAGGGCACGGGGTTCCGATGACATGTGTGGTCCTGTGGCCGCGGGGGTGTCACCGGGCATGTGGGTGAGTCAGCACCACTCACTCCTGGCGTCCGACTGTATGCTTTCCCTTTCCGGCCATGTGGCATTCACTTATGTTGCGCACTGGTCTGCTACATGGATACGGATGCTATGGATACTGCCACTCCCACTGCCACTCCCACTCCCGCTGGTGCGACATTCCAGCACGTCACGGCCACGCAGACCTTCCAAGGGCCCCCCGGCCCCCTGGAGCCTGTGGCATGTTCTTACGTGTCTCTTCTGGGGCCCGCTGAAAGTTGTAGCCTGCTGATCCGCACCCGCACCTTTACCTGGGTCCTCACTTCCGTCCCGGGGTCCCTCCAACCCCCTTTCCCCCGCTCCCACTCTAACAACAGCACCAAGGACCTGGTTACGACGCAGTCCACGTTGGGCTTTCGAGTGACGGGGTTCAAAGTGTGGCAGAGCGATCGGGAAGAGTACTTCGTGGCGGACCGTCTGTACGGCAAGGACCTGACGGCCCAGACGATGCCCGCCGCGTTTGCCAAGTTTGGCAGCAACGGTAGGGCCATGGTAGGGTAGGGCCGAGAGAACGCCGCTCGGGGGGCGAGGCAGCACGGGCCAGCTGTGTACTCGTGGGGTGGAGACAGTTGGTTCTGGACTGTAGTGTTCCCCCCCCTCGGGGACGGAGCTTCTGACATGGCGCCTGTTGACCCTGGGTGGTCGGGCGAGTTACTACTCGCGAAGCAGACCGGATCTCGATGCGGAACGCAAAGTAACGGATTGCGCACACGTCCGAGCCACATGAATGGCTCGGACGTGATTCTGTTTGGATGCTCTTAAGTGATGGGCGACTCACCGCTCGGACCCACATCACATCGACCCACATCACACTGCAACATCGCGCCAGCACTAACACCAATCGCCGACCCAAAACCAATATCCCACACGGCCTCTCACACCACCCATCTGCACCAGCCGGCGGTATTACGCCGCGGGATGTGTACAGGGGACCTCACGGTGCTGTGGCCAAGATCCGCGCACTACAGTCCTGGTTTGAGACGCAGCGGAGCTTGCTGTTCTTCGCGGCCAGTGTCCTCATCGTGTACGAGGGCGCGGCCACGCGGCCGGAGGAGGTCAACGTGGCGGTTCGGTTCATTGACTTCGCGCACACGTTTCCAAGCGGTGGCAAGCGGGACGACAACGTATTGGCGGGAATCAAGATCTTGGCGGATATGTTGGAAAACGTTGGTAGTCAAGCGGAAGCGCAAGGCGGCATGGGCGAGAGCTAGAGGCAGAGGGGCACGTTTTTAAGATGCAACATCGCAGCGAGAGCCATGTCGATGCGACGCTAAAAGCGAATGCACAAAGCGCCCAACATGGCTCGAAGTGACCACGTAGAGACCGCGGTTTCGGGACTGCGTGAGCGGTCTGTAGGCAGGCAGGCTAGTAAAGGCAGGTGGTCCAGTGCTTCGGTGCAGCATTATTCAGTGATACCAATTTTGCAGTTAGGGCAGGCAGACAAAAAAGGAGCTGCATTACGGGCTTTTATATGTAGTTACATAAACGAGTACATATATATTGTGTGCATGAAATAGTGGACAATAGCAGATGTTTGGCCCTTTTCAAAAGGGGATGCTGGGGGATGCAAGGGAATCTTAGCTGAAGAGCAGCATTGAAGCCATCTGCTGCATGAGGTGTTGCATGCAGATACGACCTCATGCAGATTGCTACTATGGACTGGATTTTTTGTGTGAGGGATGTTTTCGGCGCAAGATAAGTAGGGTTTTTAACTTCCTTAGATGGAAATTCTATCTCAACTAAACTTCCTTAGAAACTAATTAGGTTTAGTTGAGAAGTTTAGAAATCTCAACTAAGGTTTCGGCTACTTTCTGGCGGAAGGGTCGTTTAGGCTGAAACTTTGGAATTAGAATCCCCATTTGCTGCTTATTAATGATAATTAAATAGTTTTGCGCTGCGTTGAGTGTGCGCAGCGAAAGGTGCTCAGTTGGCACACGGGGCAAGGGACCCACGGGTCACCACCGCCTGCAAGCCACTGCACACCCATGGAAACGAGCATTACATAGCAAGTAGCAAGCCCCTAAACGCTCCAAACAACACAGCGATTGGCAAACTGCTGAACTGCACACCACGACACCAGGCAGAGCCGGCCGGCACGCTCGCGGGTTTGGCCTGCTTGGGCTTCTTGCCCGCCACCGCCTTCACGGCCTGCTTCAGCGCCTTGCGCTCCTCCTCCGTCTCCGCGTACGCCATGCCACGCATCTCATGCACGACTTCCCAGCCGTGGTTGTATGCAACGACCAGCTCCTTCGCGACCCCCCGGAACACGGCCTTGCCGTCGGTGATGGCAGTCTCCATGGCCTCGATGTTCCTGAAGCGTTCCTCGCCGGGCCGAGCCGCGAGGACGTTGCGCCACGCGTCCTCAATGTCCATTACCGCATTGTAGCATTTCTCGATATGCGCGCACTGTCCGCTGAGAGACTTGTTCGCTTTGCCCTCGCTGGCGCCGAAGTCACATTTGAAATCCTCAAGGGCGACACGGGCCCGCTTCGCCGGTGGACCGTCTGCACGTCAGGCTTCGTGTCCATCAGCTTCTTAATGGTTGTCAGCTGCAGCTTCACGGCGTTCAGCTGGTCCATGGCAGCCAGCTGCTGCTTGTTCAAAATTACGCCCGGGTCAGCAGCGCGACGCTCCTGCGCAGCCTTGACATCTTTATTTTCCTTAAGTGCGACGAGTCGCGCTTTTTATTCGGTGTACATCGTGTTGTAGCTGACCGAAGTCTCGCTGTCAGAATCGGACATTGTAATTGAGGGCGCACTACCACGAAGCGGATCACCAAGGCCTACAGACCAACCGCTTCACGGCAGCACCCAAACGTAGCTACGAACAACCCGAATTGCTTGCCAGAGGCTTCACCGACGTCAGCCATTGGGAATGTAACTATTGGATGAGTCCTCAGACAGCTTCATCTAAAGTTTCTCAGGACTTACTAAGGTCGCTCCTCAGGTTTCGGAGCTGCCGTACAACTAAGGCGCCAAAAAATTCCATCTAATATCTCAGTTTAGTTTCTAAAGTTTCTCATCTAAGTTTAGAAGTTTAGGTTTAGATGACTTCCAACCCTAAAGATAAGCGTCACGATGGCAGTTTGTTCCAGTCCGGGAATTTTTTCTGCACAATTTATGTAGTTTTTGATGTGGATATGACATGAAACAAGGCGCAGGAGATGTGGTGACCTCTGCCGCAAGCGGGCGGTTCTTACCTCTAGGGGTGTGTGTTTGTGTTTCGAGTCTTCTTGTGTGCTGCTTCTCTCCACTGTAAATTTGCTCCGATTGGGCAGTGTGATTGGAAATGTGCAAGCACGCTGTAAGAGAAAGGAGGTGAAAGAATGGTCTTATGTCTGCATGTAAGTACATTGAGCACTCCCGGGCCAAGAGGGTGCCGTGGAAACCAGGACTCGAAATAGTCCGGGGTAGGTGGTACGTCCTCATCAGTTGGCAATCGGACGTCACAAACAGGGGCCGCCCATCATCAAGGACAGGGAACAGGGGATTGCAACACTACAGCAGTACAGCACAGCACAGCAAGAGTCCCTTACAGGACGAGTGTCTCCGATTGTACGGTTTTAAAAGCCTATTGGGGTTTCCAATGGGAGGAGAGTTGGCAAAGACTGATGCGACCTCGCAATACTTTCTCCCTCAGTTATGCAATTTCTCCCGCTGCTGTGCTGCTGCCTCAAGAGAATCGCAAATAGGCAGAGGATCTTAAACGTCCCGTCATCTTCCCGCCGGAATTCAAGAACCCACCAAGCAGAATCAAACTGCTGCAACTTGCCGTTTTTCCTCTCATGCCAAGGATGAGAACACAAATGAAGACTTGCACAGCGCCCTGCATCGAAGGCAGCCCGCCTCCGTTCGCACCCCTCTCCCGTACCTTTTCCCCCTCGCACAGGACCCCTCCTGTGGAGGGACGCTCCCACCGCACAGCAACACACACACACACACACACACACCAACACCTCCCTCTCGCTCTCCGTCATGTACAGCTCAGCTCAGCTCAGACCCCGCTCAGCTCCGACGGCCCCTCAGCCCAGTGCGGCATACACGGACGTGTATCCCTGCATGCAGGTGCGATCCAGGGGTAACACCCGACCCCCCTCCACCACCGTATATCGGGGAGGAGGAGCTCCGCGACTAGGCCGGCCCGCAGGCTGCACAGCTCCAGTGGATCCCCGTGCCGCCGCCACTGCGCCGCCGCCGCTGCCTCCAGCGCACGATCCGTCACGATCAGCAGCGGCAGCAGTAGCATCGGGCGTTTGCACGCACAGCGGGTTGAAGAACCAGCCCACGTAGCCATTTCGTACATATGGCCCCAGCTCCCCGTTGCAGTACGCGCCCACAAAAGGCACCCCTTGCTGGAGGACCTGCGCATTGGCAGTGAGCGTGGAAGGGGGAAGGTACTGGGGGTGCCCCACGAGAGGCAGGTTGGGCGGGTTGGGTGGGGATTGAGATTTGTGGGAGGGTGTCCGGGGGAATAGCCCGCCGCCAGAGGCACACCGCGTCCTCCTCTCTCCCCCCCCCCTGACGAACACACGCGCAATACACATGTCACCACTTCCCAACTCCCCTGCCTTTGCGGCCCCCCATTCTGCAATCCCGTTCCCAGAACGGGATATAGCTTCGTCCCCCCGGCCCCCATATCAGTATAATATCCCTTGCCTAGCATCCGCCCACCCCCTCGAGCCCCACCCGACCTACCTGATCCGCGATTCCCGCCTCGCACTCCGCGCTGTCCTCACCGAAGATGGATCCTCCCCGCCCGGTGCAAGAAAACACAGCCATGGCCACGGGTCCGGCACGTGCCCCCGCCCGCAGCGCCGCCCGCTGTACCACCGCATAACCCTCCCAGGAGCCGGGGTCGGGTCGGCCTCCGGGTAGCAGCGGGCAGGGGGACACCACGGAGCGCAGTACGGGCAGCTCGGCATGCAGGTGCATCCCGCAACCCTGTGGAGCAACCCCAGGAGGGGAGGGTGGTAGGGATCGTGGTTGCGGGAGCGGGGTCGGGGTTTGGGGGGTAAGACGAACCACTTGACGATTGAAGCAGATACCAGAGATAGACGGTTTGGGGTTGGTTCGCGTCAGTCATGATACGCGGGGTGTTTACGGCGGGGATGCTCTAAGCCGCGCCCTTGCTTGGTTTGGAGTTGGAGGGCGAACAGGTGTTGAGCAGGTAAGAAATGGACTAGAGGGGCCCACGTCCACAGGGGAGCCAGCTCGTTCATCCCGTCACCCGCCTCGTGGGTTATGTCAGCCAGCTGGCAGCACACCACTGCGCCTGCCTCCCGAGCGCCGGCGGTAATGGCGTCCAGGGCTGCCACGTCTGCTGAATGGAAAGCCACGATGCCGTGACGCACCAGCAGCGACGGCTCCACAAGCCCCATCAACATCTCACCCGATCTGAATACCTGACGGCACCAGAAGCGGGAGCAACCAAGTGCAAGAAGATGCAACGAGTCAACGGACAGAAAGAGGGGGAAAGACGAACCACAGATGACGAGTGATGCTCACGCCAGAGATAGAATGGTACTTTAGGAATAAACAGATAGAGGGGAGAAGAGATTAAGGGAGAAAGGAAGAGGGGAACTGCGTGGGGGGCCGGAGCCTCTGGGGGACGCACAGGCGGAGCCCCAGGCGTGTAGGCGCGGCGTGTGCCTGATTCCGCCGCGGACACACAAACACAGAAGACTGCCAAGGGCGGCCTCGCGGTGCAGCAGCCTAGTCCAGTTGGGCTGGACTGCACTAGGCTGCTGCATTGCGTGACTGCCCTTGGCATCGCATCCAAGCCAGCCATATGTTATATCAAGCCTTCATCCGAGCCCCCATGTGTTCCCAACTTCCCAACTCATGTATTCCCACGCACGCACGCACGCACGCACCCACCCACCTGCACATCCAGGCCCCTATGCAAGGAGGCGTCTCCCCTCCTGGCCAACCACACGGCCAGCTGGGGCAGCATGCGGGTGCGGCGCCACATATCCAGCAACTCCTCATGCAGGCTCTTATGACCCGATGGCGCCCCGCCTGACGGGGCGAGAGAGACGACGAGGGAGCGCGTCAGGAGCGCAGGGCGGACAAGGCCGGTCTGGCGAGCATGTCGTACACCAGGTGGCTAGCGGGTCGTACAACGGTACACACCGGTACACACACACACACACCTGTCACCGTCAACAGGTCCCCCGCGTCCTCGTCCTCGCTGTCGCTGTCGTTGTTGCTGTCGCTGCCGCTGACCGCCCCGCGGAACCCGGACCCGGGCAGCGCCTCACGAGCAATCGACACGCGTTGAAAAACCCTCTGACCAGGCAGACCCGCAAAGCCCCGCATGGCCAGGGCACACGCGCGCACCGTCGCCAGCGGCGGCTCCGGAACCGCACCCGCCGGCAGCTGCATCGCCGATCTGATGGCTGCTGCGCTACCGGCGGCCGTGGTGGCCGCTGCCGGCGCCTCCGTCATGACCGCCAGGCCCACGTACTGTAGCCCCTTGACGGCGGCGGGGTCCCAGTCATCCAGGTCGACAGCGGCAGTAGCACCAACCTGCTTGCTGCTGCTGCTGCTGCTGCTGCTAGGTCCAGGTGCCTCCGCTGCTTCCTCCACTGCCGCGCCGTGTCCCCTTCCCTTTCTGCCGGGATGGAAGATGAGGTCCCCCGAGCCCGACGACACCCCTCCGGCAATCACCGGCCGGGCCTGCAGCGGGGTGGGTGATTGGGAGGCCGGGGTCACCGGGCAGGGCCCAGGAAAGTGTTTACTTCAACCCGGCATAAGGGCCCGGGAGGAATAGGGGCCAGCCACTACCTCTCGACACACCTGGATCACGTGAACCTGAACCTCCAGTGTATGGTTCCTGGACGCACCGCACCGGGTGAGGGAGAGGAAAAGCAGCTCAGCTCAGCTCAGCAAACGTTGTTCCGTCAGAGCTCCTTCTGCCAGCCCCAGCGAGGACCTGCCAGCGGCCCCCTCGACCCAACTTCACACCTACCCCCAACACCACCTTACCCACACCCACTTCATTCACTTGCTCATCAGCTTGCAGCCAGCGCAGCAGCCCGCCATGCGCAAGCAGTAGGTCAAGCCCACCACTGCTGCCGCCCATCAGCCACACGCTTTGCAAGCCAAGGTCGCGAGCAGAGACAACCGGCTCGGACTCCAGAGCACCGGCCCCAACCGAGCCTCCTGTCGCCGCCGCCGCCGCCGCCGCTGCGGTACTACCATTTCCATCGTCGACACCGCGACTTTGCCGTTCGCTGCCGCCACCGCCGTCACCATCTGCGGCTGAGTTGTCTGTGGCGTTGACGGTAATGCTGGCGGTATCTGTGGCAGGTGTAGGCGTGGGTGCCGACGTGCTGATCGTTCCAGCTGCTGCGGTACCAGCGATGGTGTTGGTGGTTGGGCCTACGGCGGCGGCAGCGGTGGCGGCGGCGGCGGAGTCAGTAGCGGCGACTCCCTTGCGCAGCCACTCGATGACCGCTCGGTTGGCGTTCTCAAGTTTGAGCTTCAACGTGGGGGCTGAGTGACGCGGACTGGACCGCCGCCTGCCGCGGCCGCCACCCCGCCCACCACCGCTGGCGGAGGCAGTGCCACCAGGCAACTGCGAGCAGCATACAGGGGCCTTACGTTGTCGTCGTCGATCGAGGGGGAAGAGAAACACGGCCGCCTTCTGGGCGAGGACTAAAGGACTCAACGGGGGTTCCGAATGGAACAGTGGTTCCCTCCCGGCTTCCTTCACCTGTGGCGCTGCAAAACGCAGTACGCCGTCCTGTCTGCAGCTACACCCACACATAGCAGCTACATCCACATAGCAGCTACACCCACACATAGCAGCTACACCCACACATAGCAGCTACGGAGTCAAACACCTTCGCTGTGCCAACTCAACACCGGCCTCCGTGCGGCCCCTTTCTTCCCCCGCCCCCGCACAACCCCTTCCCCCGGTAACCTTACACAGAAGGGAACCTCAGCGGCCTTACCGATGGTGAGAGGTTGCAGAAGGCCCTCACTCTGCATCCCGGCATGCGGCCCAGCAGCAGCGCGACTCCGGATGACACGCGGGACATTCGTCCGCCGCCGCTGCCGGGGTCCAGCTCGAATGCACCACCGGGACCCACACCCATGAGCCCAGCTGTGGCGCAACCCACCACTGCCGTACCCTGAGCGCAGTGCGGGAGAGAGGAAGGGCGCCTCAGGGAATTTGGACCAGGGCGGCAAGCTCGAACAAGAGCGGACAGGTCATGTTGCCACCACGTCGAGCTGCGCCCGTGGAGAAATGGCGTCAGTGCAAGGGCGTCAGTGCACGGGGTTGCAAAACCTGGCAACGTCTGACCTCCCGGCTAACGGGCCCATCGTGCGTATCGCTTGGCTGGACGGATGCGTCGGAGGATTGTCCAGGTGGGGGGGAAGTGGGGAAAGACGAACCACGAACGAGTGAAGCTGGGGAAGTGGGGCGGACGAAGCTGCCGTATGTGACAGTTTGAGCGGGTGGGAGGGAGAGACGGGCTGAGGGGCCGCTTTTGCGTTGCTTCAGTCCCTGATGCCTCCCACTCCCACTCCCACTCCCACTCCCACTCCCACTCCCACTCCCACACCCACACCCACTCCCACTCCCACTCCCACACCCACACCCACTTCCACTCCCACTCCCACACCCACACCCACCGGCGGCAGCCTGGGTAGCAGTACCTCGACCACCTTGCTACCTAGAGCCCCCTTGAACTTGTCGTAGTTGGCCGCGAACACCAGCGCGAAATCAACGCAGCCTGATAGCAAGCGTGACAGCGACAGCGACAGCAGCGACGGTGCGGGCGGCGGCGGTGGAGAGGCGCGGCAGTGGCTGTGTGAATCAGCCATGTATGTATGTATGTATGTATGTATGTATGTATGTATGTATGTGTGTGGATTGTACGTGTCAAACGAAGGGAAAACGAACAATGAGAGGTCCTTGAGTCTTTTGGGGCTTTTTAGCTGAGCGAAGGTTCCCTTAAGCGGCTCCCGTTTCGTGTGTGTGCTTGCGAGCCAGGGGCACCCACAAATCACGTGCCCCAGCGTCACAGCTTTCCAGGAGAAGCAAAAGTGTTGGAGATACAGGACGAGGGCGGCAGTGGGTGTGGGCGTTCGGTGGGGAGGGGAGGGCTGGGGGGAGAGGGAGCGGAAGGGCGCCGTTCCCAGTGATGCGGCAATAGGGAGATGGAGATCATGTGTGTGGCTTGAAAGGGGCACGGCTGGCCTAGCAACACAACACACGCCAAAAGATGGGGGGTATGCGTGTTGCATCAGAAGGCGGTCCTCTGTGAGTGCATTATCAGGGACTTCGGGGTTGATACACTAAAAGACCTGGACGGGGACGGGTGGGGAATGGACGCGAAGCAGGGGCACGCGCGACCCATATCGGAACGTGGGGTGTTCGGGGGAACACTAGCTAGGTGTGTTTATACGTTGGTGGGGAGACTAGCGCACCCACGTTCACCGCCTAGAACGCAGTTGATGGCATCTGGAGATGATGCTCCGTCTCCGGCTTCAGGGCTCCTGTGTCGACTCTAGATGACCTAGCATAATTGGCGACCCGTATCCCGGTCTTATCCCGGCGCACCCGATGAAACCTCGACGCGTTCAGTTTCGGTATGCTGGCTTACCAAGCGTTCCCTGGAGCGCGCGCTCGCATGCTTCTTCAAGTGCGTCGGCAAGGTCGTTTTTGGTGGATGCAGCGGCACTGAAACATCGATGAGACTGCAACGTCTTCGATAATAGGTAGATCCTTCTGCAACAAGCTGCTGCTCGCAGGATGGCCTTGCTGCCAGCGCCGGCCAGGACACGCAGCAGCACCTCGTCGGGAAGTTCGTCTAGGGTTTGCATCGTCTCACGCATAGGGAAACATGGCATACCAGTACTGTGACCTAGAGTTGTGCGTAACTGAAGAAATCCCCTCAAAAGCAAATTGCTATGTCATTACCGTTCCTTCGTTAACCATGGGTCCCGGCACAGCTTTTAGTGAATTTCGTCAAAGTACCCACACTATACACGCCGTTAATTGTAAAGGCTAGAATAATCAGCTATGGTATGGCATAAGGCATAACAAGATGCACCTGTTCCGAGTTTCAACGCGTTTTCGTGGCCCGACTTGTCTACGAAGTAAATCGTCGACACATCTCTTGACTATATCTGCCTGAACGAAAATTTCTACCAATGCTGACTCCTGTTCGGGGTGGGAAGAGGTGCCATGAGAACGGCATCCGTGCCGTAAAAGCATTCCTTCCGAAACGGGATTTTCTCAGCTTTTGGCGGTCAAGCATGTAGTTCCTAATTTACTCCTGATGTCTGTCAAATACATGCCCTCGAAGAAGGTCCCGCAGCGATCCAGGCCAAATTTAGGGCCTGTAACACTTCGTGGCCTGCGCCAGCCCACCGGGGGCCCCCCAACACAGCTATGGTCTCTGCCTACGTACCACCCATGGCGAATACCGATTTTGCCTCTATGGGTATCTGTGCTGTGGTCGAGGTTGCATGCCACTGCGTATCCCTGTATCACAAGAGGTGGCCCCGCCTTGCGTGAGCTAGTCTCCCTTTTGCAACGGCGTCAAGTCTGGGACCTAGTCGTCATTATGACGGGTCTCATCGTTATTTTCCATCGGACGCGCCTCGCAAACCTTATACGGCAGCCAGGCTTAATGAAAGCAACAGAGGTGCCGCAGCGAACCCCCAGCATGCTGCGAGCCGTTTCGCACTCCCCCTGAACCCTCTTCTCCACTCTGAAAAACCTGCGTAATTCATGGACTCCATCCACCAGCATTCCACGGGCAAACAAATGCCAGCTTTTTCTTGTAGGCATCACTCGACCTGACTTAGCGGGGCGAAACCAAAGCTAAACCAGAGCTAAACTCGAGTCACAACAGCCCTCCAAGCAAGTGACACTTGGCCACGGTCCCACGCACCGACCGCGACCGGACCGACCACGGGGCGCAAGAGCCGCCAGCACCATCCACACCATTCAGGCCATGCTGCACGTCCCGCTTGTATGGGGTTACAAGCCCCGTACCTCCATCCCTCCTCCCTCTGGCCCCTCTGGCCACTGCTACGCCGACGACTTCTCCGCCATGGCGGCCTCGTAGATTCGGTATGCGGCCCACCAGCAAGTGCAGTTGCCAATGACCGTGAGCGCGGACTGGCGCACGGACACCGAGTCAGTTTGGGGGCAGAGCGGGGCAGGCCATTTAGCTCGTCATTTGAAGTTGTTTGTGACAATGGACCAAGTGAGCTGCTGATTGGTCGGAGGCATAGGAAAGCTGCTAGGCAGCTTATTTAAGAAACGTTCAAATCGGATAAAGGATTTCCCACCACCTATTCGAATAAAAGGAAGGGCAAATAAACTTGATGCATGAAAGAACCTGCTTGATGAAGCTGGGTGCTAAGTATCTGTCTGTACACTAGACGGCATACAATACATGGCTACACACGGATAGATCGATAGATACTTCCTGTGGTCGTGCTGCTCATGGATGGATGGATGGCAGTGGTCTAAGGTAGGTGATCTACAGACCCTCCCCCTGGGCATACACATACACACCGGTCCTCTCCTCTTATGACCACTATTGCCCTGCCAGCCACCATCTGACTGCGGACGGGGTGCACTGACGAGCGACGACCCTCTGGAAAATTAGGACCCACAACAATAACGACGGTGATGCTTTACGATTCGTCATCCGCACCCTCCCACGACCGCACCTGCACCACCACCAGGAACTCCAGGTCGGGCGAGTTGTAGAAGAAGTGCCAGGTGCAGGCAGCCATAGCGGAGCCCAGGCTAGGCAACATGCCCCAGGCCATGCCTTTCCAGCGGGGATTGCCGCTGGCCTCCGCGTACTTCCACATAAGGCCCATGGCAGTCACCCACTCCAGCACGGAGGACACGCTACAGGGATGGATCCAGGATCCGGGCACGCGAAGGTCGCGACAGGGTAACGGCGTTCTGTTGCGAGGTGTGTTAGCCATGGCTGCATCGGGCGCTCTGCTTCCATCACACGGTGAGATGGCAGAGCCGCGTCGGCAGCTTTCATGGTTGCGTGTTTTGGACAGTCGTTGAATGGAGGGGATATGGGGATGCAGTTGATGGCGCACGTAGGCGCGGAGAATGCGTGGCCGACGAGAGCAGCCATGGAGGCTTATGCCATCAGAGCAGCCCGCCCGATGAGTGCAAGAAGGGAACATCGTCTAAGACGAGGTGTGAGCTAATAAGGGTCGGCTCATAACCCTACTTACTGGATAGCCCAGGTAGGCAGCGAAAGTGCATTGCTGGGCTCCGCGTGCAGCTCCAGTGCATGAGCGACGCCCGGCGCAAGCAGGTTTTCGCAGGCGGCTACTAGCAGCAGGGCTCCCGTAGCGAGGTGGCTTGGCACAACCGCTGCGCTGTAGCTCGACGTCCTACATTCTTCCTTGGATGATTTTTGAGTAAATGATGTTATATGCTGTTGAGTGAAGATACGCGGCGGAAAGCCTAAGACTCTTGTTGTTTGGGTCTGTCGTAGTCCATTGCAGGCATAGGATTTCATTTGTGAAACAGCTTATCAAGGCAATCGCAGTCCTAGCGATGCACTTTATGTGTGACACTGTTAAAATGCTCCGTCGTTGCTGAGCAGTGCAGCGTGCCGCTGAACATCCCCGTCGTACAGTGTTTTTGCAGCTCAGTCCGGCGATGCGCGACATTGGTGCATGCACCCGTTATGTAGATCGAATTTCACTTATGGGGAGTTACTGTTAGGGTCTTGTGATTGTCAAGTCTAGGGGTGCTCAAATTGCTACCTGCAGACGCAACTGCACCTGTTTAGATTTGCCTCCATAGGGATAAAAAAACGGTCATGGAATCCGGTTCTTCAGAGAATGCGCTGAGCCGATTAGGTCGACGGCTGAACCAACGAATTCAATACTTCCTTGACAAGAGTTCTCCTCACGTCTCCGCTCGCTGGATATGCCTCCTCTTGGCGTTAGCCGGCTACGTCGCGCGCGTCTGGTATCTGCGTGGTACGCCTGCTGCTGGCGACCTGGATCATGCCCGATGCCTCGACGCTGCAAGGAGTAACTGTCATAACTGCACCATCCAGGGTTCTATATTGTGTCATATGGCCTGGGGATATATAACCTGAACTTGCTTTTGGGCTTCATTACACCGCAATTCGACCCGGAGCTCGAGGGGCCAGAGCTGCCAACAAAAGCCGATGAGGAGTTTCGGCCGTTTGTTCGTAGATTGCCTGAATTCAAGTTTTGGTAAGGATGATTTGCCACGTTTACCGGTACACGGCACCCATGTGTATTTGTCATGACGCGTTTTGGATTCGGCCCTTGCTTATGGAACTTCAGGTACGCGTCAATAAAATCAATCCTCCTTGGCACGGGGATGACGTTCTTCAGTGTGTTCGATGTGCCAGTCTTTTGGCCCATCCTCTTGCTGTACTGGTTTGTGCTCTTCTTTGTGACTATGAAACGGCAGATCAGGCACATGATCAAGCACCGTTACCTTCCATTTACATTTGGGAAAAAGGTACGGAGGCATGGATCGCAGGGCTAGGGGTCGCAAGGCTTCCAAGGGGCCCCGGAAATAGGTCAGGGGGTAGGGACTGCATTGTCACGCCACATGCCAAAATGGGCAGTGCTTGACAAGATTGCCGCTCGTTGTGTATGAGCACATTGTGGTGTACTGGTGTACTGGTTTACACTGAGCACACATGAGCGGCGTCTTAGTGATGACGTGGTGAAGGCCTCCTGGTGGCCTCGCATATTGTGAGGATAGAGGATTCTCAATTGGGCGCTCCCTTGAGGTCCTCACTTTCTTCCGTGGACTTGACTTGGTTTGGGTTCCTACCACAACACGGCAGTACATCCATGGATTTCCTCCACCTTGATCCGCGTGCCGATGTCTCGCAGCACTATGCGACTTAACCACGGCTTCCGTCCCCGCAAGTGAGCTGCAGTACCTGTCCTCTGTTGGATAGTAGCCTGGGTTCTTGCCTTGCAGAAATCGAGCTGCGCACGGTGTGCTCCATTGTCCTCAAGCTGCTTAATTACACCCGGCCGTGGTTGACCCCTTGCAGAAGTACGGAAAAGGCCCAGTCGCGAAGGACTCGAAATGACCTGGACTGGAGCGGCTTCGGATGCAGCAGCTGAACTAGTGTGGAGTGTTTGTGCAAACGGTGTTCAAAGTCTTTCTTGGCACTCGGGTGCAGGGGGCATCGCAGGGGGATAGTAGTACCGTGTAGTTGCTTAGGAGTGGAGTCGTTAGGGTGTGGGCGCCAAGCAGCATTTTGGACGGCGGACACCTTTAGGCTTGGAGCATGACTTGGCGAAGAGTAGGTGATCCTGATGGGTCTTGCGATTGGGTCTTATTTGAGACGTTTAAGCTTGACTTTTAGGTCGGGAACAATGATACGGATATGGTTGCGCCATAGGTGGGTGCGGGGCTTCAAGCGGTCGTGTAGTGTCACAAAGCCACGAGCGGATGCAGCGGCCAACAGCGGGAAGCTACTTGACTGTGTTGCAGTCTTCATGCTCTGATGCCAGCAGATATCATGGAAAGCTGGTACTGGCGCATACTTTGTATAGTTACTGTCGTATACTCTTGCCAAAACGTTACTGTTCTTCGTGTCGATTGTCGCTTACAAATTTGTTGGCGCTGTTTTCCACGTGTATTGCAAGGGGAATCCGCGGCGAAGGCGGCAACTGAGATTGTTTGATCTTGCAATCGCCAGCTGTGTAACACAGAGTTCGTTAGCTTGCACCGGTTAAAATTTAGCGCAAGCAGGGTTTGTGCATTGAGCTTGGCCACGAGGATGTTTTGGGGTAGTGGGCTATGTCATGGCCTGGACACGATTCATTGGCTTTACTTTACATCCTCTGCCTTGTCAGCAACCTTCCATCGCAGCTATTTTTGCTGGCGGATCGTGGAAAGCAGGCAAAGGCAAAAATGGCGGGCTTATGCTCTTGAAGTTGTATGATTGCTGCGGCTAAGAAAAGACTCAGGCAAACCGTTGCTGTTGAATATGCGGCCTAACCTGGTGTCCCTGTATCAAGATCGCAGGGAGATTTCCACTGCCCTGGTCCCAGGGCATGATGGTCCCCAAAGGTCTGTGAAGGAGCCGGGTGATGTGTTCACAAAACCCCTGGATATAATATCTTGCCGCCATATGGTGCAAAGACGTTACATGAGTCTAGCCAGCGAGGCGTGGAACCCACTGAAATGATATCGAAAACTCGTATCGTACAGCCCTTTGCTCCTATCAATTCCTTCGACAGGTAACCTTAAGTTACCTACATATTCTTCAACCGATAAACCCGCGATGGTGAGATGTATTTGCCCGATCCCATATAGTCAACGGGGTCAATGTCAAGTACTACTGACCCAGTAAGCTGTCACAATTCTTTATAAGCATTCCGGTGAAGTTGATGTCATGACGCTTCCTTTTTTGGCAGTTGAATAACGCCGTGGAGGAGCTTTTGGAGCGGACAGACAGCTTGCTTCGAGTGCGGTCTTCAGCTGGAGGAGAACGCACACCATCTGAGGCTGGCCGATCAGAACGGAATAGTCTTCGACCAGCACTTTTCAGTAGGTGTGTTGGAATTCAGATAAGTTCTGTGGTCTAGCTTCGCCATCGACCTACTCTAACGGAAAGCCGTGTTTACGTTGCATGGACAGGCGGGGACGGCCCGGTGCTTCTTCAGTACGTAGTAGCTCGGAATTGGAAATTGGAGAGCCCCTTCTTGAGGCTGCTGCTCGATTGAGGGGCTCGCTTGACGGAGCGAGCCAGAAACTTAGCGTGCTCAAATCAAGGACGACAGGCTTGGAGAAGTCTCAGGCTGTGGACATACTGCAGAAAACTACGGATGTTGACAGCGAGAATCCCACACCGCGACTCGTTGAGAGCTTGGTAGGTCGATGGCTGCCGTACGGCGTAGTTTCATGTAAGGAACATCCTAGCATGGTTTTGGCTGATGCATGCCGCGAGCGCTTTCAGCACCGCCTGCTCATGCCCCGAAATTCCATTTTGCTGCGCCCAGGGCCGCCCATCGCCGTCAGTCACGCTGACGGACCCTGCCTCGACGATCCTGAACCAGAGCGCCCCAACCTCTCTAAACCTCAGTTTGCCCGGCGGATCAAAAGATGTTAGCCGCGCGTACAACAGCTTCGGAGGTCTGCAAGATATGGTCTCGATGATCAATCCTTCCATAGCGCCTGCCATCCCCTCACCCCGAGCTGCGTCTGGAGCGCCACAAGGCGGGCGGTTGGGTTACACTGCAGCTCCTTTGGGGACTAATACCCTGCGAGGTACGGGCGCTTGCCGTGAAATCCTACCGGCTTTTAAGGTGACGCGATGCGCCAGTGGTACGATGCTGATGTTTTTGGTGTACCTGTATACAGGAAGGATGCCGGTAAGCAGTATAGTCACTGTGACATTGGTTATACGCCCCATGCCTCAGGCGCAATGTCGGCGATTACATCGGACATGAAGCCGCCTGCGGGAAGGATGCGTTCACCTAGCCGCTTGGGCTCACCAGCGATGTCACCGCGGTCCCCCTTATACAGGAGCAGCAGCGCCGCTGGGGCCCCTAGCGCAAAAGGTTCAAGGCGGGCACAGCTGCAGGCGCTGCTGAGCAAGGATATTGCCCAGCCAATGGACGTGATAAAGTAAGTAGGGATTGTCACAGGGCGTGGTCGGCAACTGTGGGAAGGCAACGTGGTGTAATTCAGCGGTCATAGGATAGCAGCCTCTTCTCTCTTGCTTTCACGCTACGATATAAACTATGTAGCCGCGTTTCATAGAATGTCAACCCTTGGGGAAAATCGCCAGGCGTTTTTGGTATCTGGATTTGTTGCTGTATTCGGCTGACCTGTCCAGTTTAGGCTCATGCTAGTCGGGCTTGCTAGCGTCGCACGGTTACTGGGATAGCTAACCTGGCAGGACCTGACTCCCACGGTGGCAGGTATAAGGCGGAGGTGAAGAGCCCGGTGCAGCCGGCCGTTAGCGTGGCACGACTCGCAGGAGACCTTCAGGAAAAATTTGACAAGGTCAATCGTAAGCTGAAGAACTGGGACTTGGTTGAATCGACAGCAGCCGAGGTATGAGTGGGAGAAGACGTGGGATGGGATGCGCTAGGTGTTCTCATTTCGGCAACGGAAAGTGTTTCGCTGGAGGCGTGCGGTTCTCCTGTCCATCAGGAACCCTGCCAAACAAGCGCACATGTTGCGAGGGCATCGCGGTGTGGTCCGTCTTCGTTGCGACATGCAAGCTTGCATGTAGAGTTCCTTACATTCTCCGCCGAGCCTTCGGGTACATGATAATCCAACTTCCCAGAAGGTTGGCGTTTCAATAGCTATCCTCAATATCAAAAGCCGCTTGCCCGCAAAACACCAACCCCGTTGTTTCTTCAAGGATGCACTTCTGTCGTCCCGAGGTACCTCCGACAGATGCGGCTGTCACGACCACCAACTATCCCCGCCCTTTCCTGCTGCAGCGGTTTAACGCCGCGATGGACGCTGCGCTGGAGGCTGTGTTCTCGCGCGTCAACCTCGCCTGGCCAGGGGGAAATGTCCCTGCTGGAGCGTCCGACAGCTCAGAGGGTGTCCCCTCGACCAGCGCATATGACTCCCTGCGGTCCCGCGCACGCAGCAAGGGCAAGCGCCTGGAAGCCGCAAAAGCGGCGGCCAAAACAGAGAAGGACATGGAATACCAGTTATACCGCCGCCGCCACGGCGCGTACAAAATGGACAGTAGCAGCCACACCTACGATGCAGGTGATGCAAGTCGTGAGTCGCCCTCGTCATCCGTTTCACATCGGTGTACCTGGGACGGCGAGCTTTCCACTACCACGGATGAGGATGCCAGCGGCGTCAGCACGCGGCGCGGTGAGGGCAAGTTTAGGGGAGCGTGCGCCGGCCTGGCCACCGGTGATACATCAGGGCAGCGCGGTGGTAGCCGGCTGCGAGATGTATCACCTGACGGTTCGCGCCATCGCCACGACTTCAGCAATTCACATACCGCGGCAACGGCGGACGCAGAGGGCAAGGCAAGGAGAGGCCATACCCGGCAGGTTGCTGATAATTCGCCAAGAATGGCGCCCGCCAACCATCAGCCACCCCACGCCCCTCAAGCTTGGCACTTTGGGACGTACGGCACGACACTCCCAGCAGGATACCCAGCTTTTCCTTTACAGCCGCAAGCAGCAGCCGCGTCTGTAACTTCTCCAGCGTTTGGGGCTGCGTTTTCAGTGCCCAGCTCATCGGCCCTGTTCGGTCCCGGACAACCGCTTTACGCATCCTCCTCAGCTACCTATCCGCCTGTGCTAGGGCCGGCCCACCAGGTGCCAGGTGCAGAAACCAAGGGAGGCAATGGTCCCAGCGGAGCGCAGCATTACAGCTATATGGCAGCTGCAGTTCCCGGGATGGCGTTGGGGGCAAAAGGAGCAGCAAACGTGCATGCAGCGGAGAATGCATGGCAGCCTGCGGTGGATGTGCTCGGCAACTTTCCGTATGCAGCAACGAACCAATGGCACCCAATTCACCATGTCTCCGGAGTGCCAATGAACCCTGCTTACGGCATCAAGCCGACTGCGGCTCCGAATGAACATAACACTTTGCTGTACCGGCCTGAGCAGATGTCCAGCTCAGTCGCAATGTCGTTCATGACGCCAACCACATCGGGGAGCAAGAGCGTGCAGGCCACTGCGACCGGTTCGGATTTCTGCGCCTCAGCTTCCACTGCGGCCCCGAACATTGCTTGGCCGGTGCCATCCGCACGCAGCACAGTTCAGCCACCGGTCCAAGGTCCACAAGAGAGCACAGCCAAAGGTCTGGCAACCATGCCACAAGGCTTTGATGCGGCCGAGCTCCGCAAGGGAATGTACCATTATCCCTTCAAGTCGGCATATGCCCCATTGCATGGGCTTACAGGGTCTAATGTGCAAGGTCTGGCTTTTCCGGGGCTTAATGATATCACGGGACTCGGGATCGGGGCAACGGCCATGTCAGGATTAGGAAATAGCCACACTGTTACATACGGCGCCACGGGCCCCTTAGGAGCCGGGCAGGATCACTTATTACCCAGTCAGTACTTGAGGTACGCGGGCCTCTAACTAGTGCCGCGCCGTAGGTAGGGTTTGGCTTGCTGGTGAGATAACCAGCGGCTAGGACAGTAGAGCAGGTCCTTGATGTGTATTTGACAGGCGACTTCGTAACGAAGCATGTAAAACCCCCTCCACGTGTCTGCCATCCCGAAATGCACCACTTATCCAACACACACGAGCCACAACAGTGGTTAAGATGCAGCAGCAGGATTAACTATACACAAAGTTTCTCAGGTTGCAAAGCCATACAGATTTTCGAAATTTCAAAATGCAGCAGCAACGACGCACATGAGCTGTCTCGTGCAGACAAAGCCTTGCAGGCCAGCTTCGCATTCACAGGCGTTGTTGCAGCTGCGGATAGGCAGATGTGAGGAAGCTGTCCAAGAAAGGGCTGTTCGTCGAAACCTTCTTCACGGCGCGCTGCTTGTTGTAGTACGGCTCCACGACCTCCGTCAACTGCAGGGTTACGCAAAAGATAGCTCCAGGGCTTAACGTACGAACAACAGGGTTACTTGCCCTTCGGTGTACCCCCAATATCCTAAGCAGGAAAGCCCGACATAAAACCGCACTAGGGTTATTAGGTGGAATGCTACAAGGGACAGTCGTGCAAAGCCCGAAAGCTTACCACATGGTGCCGCTGCTTGTGCATCAGGAGATAGGTCTGCATGTCGAGAGGATTCACGCACGTCAGGACGATACCCGGCCGTGATGTTTAGGGGCACACAGGTACGTACCTCGATTTCCTCGCGCCCCTTAAAGATGAGCAAGTCCACGACCTAAGGTAGGTGAAGAGAGTGTCAGTTGAACACCTAAAGATGCGTCATTAGCGTGGCAACAAGCCAGTCGCATACCCTTCCATCCTTCACGTCCTTGTACTCCTTGAACCTGTCCTTCACGATAGCTCGCAGCTCCCTCACCGACACCATCTCCTCCATCTTATGCAGTCGCTGAATGAATGGCAAGCATCGGCAAATCTGCAGTAGAACCCAAATAGCGACATCGGTTTCGCCAGTGTGGATTCGCTTCATATAAAACTGGCCTAGTGCTGCCTAGGAGCAATGTAGTCTAGATACGTAATCGGTAAACCGCCTTCACCTCGAAGTAGAAGCTCCGTGCAGCGCCCCCGAAAAGCCTATCCTTCTGCTGGACGGCAGCCACATGTTTGGCGAGCCGCGATGCCATGGTAAAGTGCTTCTAAAGGAATGAAGAATGTGTTCTTATTGGTAAAGTGTGTGCCAAATTTGGTAGCGAACTTTGTAATGTGCCCTCACACGTCACGTAGTTGACATAGGAATCTCCAATCAGACAGGCAAAGGATGGCCTGGCCGAGAGGTGAACTTGGAGGCTCTCCAATGCTGAGCTAGGAGCTGTCCATTCTTTGTCGTGGTACGGCGACACGCACAACCTGCATCCGTTTGAGTCCTAACTTTACCATATCGATTCTAAACTCTGTGCAAGTATGTGAACTAGGGTGACAGTGCTTACACAAGGATGCCATCAAAATGGAACACTGACCCCAGCGCGACCGCAGCCGTGGTCGCTCCAGTCACCAGCACAAGAGCAGCCTTGCAGCACCTCCTCAAAGATGCGGCCTTGATTGCTTTTTCGGTGCTGGTCCTTACCTTCAGGTGGAACATCTTCCCGCCATCTCGGCACAAAGTTAGTTTGTCAGTCTCTCGAGGTTTGCTGGATTGTATATGCTTACAGGTTGTCAGTACTGCCGCTCTTACCAGCTTCGTGGATTCGATTGGTCATTGGTAAGCCTGGAGAAAGGGGGAGGAGGAGGGAAACTGGCGGCTTGGGTCAAACGGGAGGGGCCAAGGGCCTATCAATGGACTTGGACGAGAGGAACTGAATAAGTGCCAATTCCGCCTCTCCTGTGCAGAAGTGATGTTTTGGCTTACGCCGGTGATGCTCAGCGGCAGGGCCCTCGACACGGTAGCTAAGTGGCGGAGCTCACGGCAAGCAGCCAAGGTGTAAGTTTTGCTTCCAAGCCGTCGGCACGCACCCCCCTGGCATCCGTGTCCTTGGACAAGAGGGATGCAAATCTTCGCTTTTCATACACTTCCGTACGGGGCTGGCTGAGTCGCACTGCCAGTTGTGTATCCGTCTCGCGCACTGATCCCTTTTGTCGTTCTATAAATATAACCAATTCGCAGGCAGGATAGCATTACCGGCAGCAAACGGAAGCTGTACGGCTTGCCGCCTCCGCCACCCAGGTGTGCAGCTCAGTATGCAAGTATCCGCTGCTGATCCTATCGCCAATCGCAAACTCATGCCCAATCGATCGCAAACTTATACCCGTTATGCGGCGGCGTGCACTTCTTCGTGGTGCGAAGGGTTTCCATCGCAATATACCATCACATTCCTGGGACTCATGGGATGCTATCAAACTGCCGCTATAACCCAAAAGTCATTACCGCGCCTGATGTCGTCAAGCGTGTGACGACCGGTTAGCTTCAGGCATTTGGTGAAGTTGAGGAGCTGGCCTCATTCGGTTGGTCCCCTCGCAGGCACGAACCGCTGCGACAGCGGAGGCCCTTCTCGCTGCGCGCCGGGGAAGGGTCCGGGGGACCCCAGCTGACGCCCATAACACCACCACAGGTTAGCTAGTTTTATGACAGCAGACAAGCCTTAGCAAGGTCCTGTTGCGGCACGCACGCAAATTTTACCCACTTCCTATGTCGTCGAAGCAGCGCTTGATGGCAGCACATCTGTGTCACCTTCTGCGCTACAGTGGTACGCTGCGCCTTCGGTATCAGGCGGCCTGGGCACCACTCCGTTCAATGGCACGCCGGCTACCCCAGGCATTGGTGGGAGCTTACTGGCCGCGACACCCGCAACCGGGGCCGAAGCTGCACTGCTGCGAACACCCCTATCCGACCCGTTCAGGTGGGTCGATATTGACGCGTGCGAGGCAACCCGATTGTCATATGCGCGTCGTCATGGATTCCAGCAGTGTCTCACGGAAACAATGTTATGCGCCTGCGCCGCCGCGGGTTCTGCTCTACAGGCGCTCGCCGCAGCCCCTGGGCATGTCTCCTGGTGGGGCTGTGGTAGCAAGTCCGGAGCAGCTTACGTACTACTTAGAAAGCCTTGGTGGAACCACATCGGCGGGTTTCATGGCCAGCCCGCAGCATCCGGACTCGTTGGCTGGGCAGTACGGGGGAGTCTCACAGACATCGCCAGCTTACGGGGTGGCGTCGGATCAAGGTGCGTGTCGTTTGCCATCGGCGGGGCAACCTTGGCGCGCTTTAGCCGACGTCCACCCAATACACTAATGTGTAACCCAAACCGCTTTAGTGGACGTCAACACAAAACAGTCTCTTTCGTGTCACTGTTTTTCCTCGCTTAAACTCCAGGTTTGAGAATTCTACGTTTAACGGACTGGCGCTACTTGACATATGTTTAAGTGTCCCACCGCATGATCCGGAGAGGTCAGCTTTTGTGCCTCTGACGTCCTCCCTTGCTTTGTTGCGTTTGCCCCTCTTCACGTCGATTGGCAGACCAAGCCACTTCTGGCGTGCTGCCAGTTGGCGTCAATGCACCATACTACCGTATGACTTGGGTACGTTGGAGGATGGAACATCATACCTGTGCGATGGAAGAGCACAGTTGCGTTGCATGAGTAGCTTGCTGTATGTTGGGGTACCAATCCTAGAGCTTAGGAGTTACTGTTAGGCACTATCCACATCAACTCATTTTACTCGCAGCGTGTCTTGACGTAGTGGATGTTACCCTGCTGTCGCTTACGGCCGTTAAAGCGTCGTCATCATTAAGTTTTTCCCTCATGCTCGTTGCCTTATCCCCTCAGATGCCCAAGAAAGCTGCAGCGGCGGCGGCTGCGGATACACCGACATTGAACCCCAGCTCGCCAGAGGAGGTCGAGGAGTTCGTCGTGACAGTCCTTCGTGCACGGCAGGAATGGCTGGAGCTGTGGACGGAGCGACTGCGCGAGTGGCTGGCGGGGCGGGTTCTAAAGCCTTTGGTTGCAGCTGTTGTGAGCGCACATGAGCCGGTCAACGCGGTGAGCAACCGTCCGAATTGGTGGTGCTTGGTTAGATGGCCATATGGAACCTCTTGGAGCGGGAGTTTTGCCGCTATGATGTGCAACGAGGCAGCCAAAGGAAGGAGTGAGCACCTGGACATATGAAGAAATCTATGCCATCGATATAGTAACATACATTCCATATATCATCAGCTGGCTTTTTTTCCGTCGTGTTAACCATTGCTGAGCTGCAGCGAAAAGGCCTCAGCGGCAGGTTATCAGGTACCTTCACATATGAGTTGCTAGCTGCCGTCCTGACGAAGCCTTTTGCCTCACCACCAAGTGAAAACGTATAACTTCATTGTTTGCTCCCGTTTACAGCTCCTGCAGCAGTTCAACCAGTCGCCTCGTTTACCCCCGCTACCTGACATCGTGTCGGATGTGCGCTCCGCGGGAGTCGTCGATGTCGACGGGGTGCTGCGGTCGCTGCAGACGTCGCTGTCACAGCATGTGGCTGCGCAGCCGGCGGCCGCGATGACACCTAAGGCCAAGGAGTTACTGGCAGTAAGAAGGATGGCGGCTGTTTTTGAACGGACAGAGAATGGATTACGGCCGGCGCGCCAAACTAAACTGCTGCGAAGGCCGGAACGCCTATCCTTTTGATCCCGTTCGCGACGATTAGGTTTTTCCTACCCTGGACTTTCGCCCATCCTACATGGTTTCCGAACGAATTGTTGTTGTAGTGGCTTTTTTATCTGCCGTCCTGAGTTGTTAATAGCTTATTGACCTGGTAAATCTCCTTACGTTCGGTACCGATGGCAGGCTGTCAACCGTTATGCTGACCTACTGGCAGTTTTGCGGGGCAAGCGCCCCTCTGACATCCTCCCGCCGTCCAACACAGCATACGTATGGACGCGGATTCAACAACTCGCCGAGTCGTCCTGTTTAAAAGAGTTTACATGGAACGGTGGCGCTGCGTACGCTGGTCGGCCGTGGTCTGCAGACCAGCTGCCAAACGACAGTGCGCTTGTGCTCTACCTTTTTGCCGCGTACCTGGACGCGCCCGGTTGGCAGTTTACCGCACCGCCAAACACCCAGGCCGAGGGGTGAGTTGGGCTTGCCATACGTTTTACAGTCAACACTACGTGTGTGTCGATGAGTGTGTCACAATAGATCCGGCGGGGGCCCTCGTGCAACAATGCACACCATCGATTCGGGTACTGCAGTTGAGAGACATGGGCAACACTGCATGTCCGTACTAATGCACTGTTGGGTCATGCGATTCTGCAGGGGGACTCAGCCACTTTACCTGGGCACACTGCCCTCGGGGCCACGCAGCTCTGCCGCTTGCAGCGCCCTCCTGACCTACCGGCCTGAGCGCCATGGCAAGGATATGGACGCACTGCTGGGGCTGCAGCTGCAGGGCACCACCCCCCTCTTCTGCTACATGGCGGCCGGCAGGCTGATGGTGCTGGCCAACTGGTATCAGTACGTGGGGGTGTTCCACGCAATTATCTTTTTCCTGCAATATCACAAGGTGCGACGGGCTTCCTTGTATAGCTGTACCTCACATGCCAGTGGTAGTAGCACAGGGAGCAGCTAGCCAACGCCGTGCAAGTAAAAATAGCCAAGCGGCCCTCACGCAGACACTTGGCCTTTTCACGCCTGGATGCTGTGACGCTCAAGATGCTGTGAATCACTGCAGTGCCGTCATTCCCGCCAGGAAGCAAAAATTGTTCTTTGGCATGCAATGTCCGTAGGCCCTTCTGACAGCCTGTTCCCCTGGACTGTGCGCTGCAGGTACGTTACAACGGGGCCATCGGACGACAGCAAATGGACGATCCCGACCTGGCGCTGGATGCAGTGGTTCAGCCCCCTCCTGTGGGAGCAGTTGTTTCGCTGGGCGGTCGGGTGTTGGGTGGCCTTGGTTGGTTTATGTGAACAAGGCGATGGTGGCGTTCTGATAATCATTGGTCGACGTGCAGGGCTGTGAAGCGGGAGAATATAGAGCAGGATATGATCAGGCAGTCCAAGTGTTTCGCAGGATATGGAAAGCGATGTGGGTCTTGTTACACTGTATTTTTGATGAATTAGCAAAATAAACACGCACCAAGAAAAAACTGTGACTATCTCTTCCCGTGAAATGCTGGGCATGATAGACCTGATAGCACTGGCCATCATTGTAAAAACCGAATTACAGAAATCTCCACCCGCCACAAACAGAGACGCTCCTGGCCTGGATTGAACCTCCTGCAGCACATCCGCGCGTCATGTGCTACGTCCAACCTGAGAGCTTCATGTTTTCCAGAAATTCCAGTGTGCACGTTTTCAGTAACCACCAGTAGCCTGCTTGGCCGGGGGAGGGTACGGGTTCTCGATCTCCAGCTCTGCGGCCTGCTGCTGCAATTCACGGAGACGGTTGTTGTGGTATACGAACCCGACATCGCGCTTGCGAGCCAGCGGGCCACGGTCCACATTTGATGACACCTGCCGATGTAAGTATCAGCACGGTGGAGGAAAGATAATGACGCGGGAATAGGGAAAGAGTAAAAGCTTTTGCCGGCCCATGGACCGTTAAGTACCCGCCACTCACCCGGACGGCAGCCTGGAATCGCTTCATAATCTGCAACACAGGATACAGTCACGTTAGCACCTGGTCCTTGACTTTATCCCGCACTAATCCCTGATGGCTTTCGCACCTCGGTGCACTTGTGGTAACGTGCGGAGCCGGCCGAACGAACGCAATCCAGAGCCTGCTGCCTCAGGATCTGTAGACCGAGGGCTCAGATGTTCAGCCTTTGTCGCTGTGGCATAGTATGGCCATTTTGGGGCGGCACCATTCCGGAAACAGCTTCGCCTACCTTGACCTTCTCCAAGTTGATGTACTTCCGCGATGTGCGATAGTTTGTGTTGTGAAAGAAAATGTGCGGCTCCTCCTTCTCGTCGTTCAGGGTGTGCAGGATAGGCGCATCGGGCCTGGCCCAGCGCTTTCCAGGCTCTCCCGTCAAGTTCCTGAACACATCGTTGACCTTCTCATGAAACTGTTTACGCTCCTCTAGGGTTGCCATGGCGCTGGGGGAACAGTATCCTAATAGTTCGCCCCAGTCTTTTACAGAAAATGGACTGGGGGGTTAGTAACAGATTCTACAATGGTCATTAAGGAAGCACATTAAAAATTGCATAAGGCAAGTTTTGCATGTATATTGCCGTACTACTACCATCCAAGTTACGGACAAGCACATTGCTCATGTGTGTACACCTTCCTCGCACCTGACATCCTCGTGGATGGGTTTTACTTTATGAGCCCACAGCTCTTATTCATCGCCCCCTCGCATCGCATGCAAACCCTGCGCGACGTGGTACGCTCGTCGTTTCCGACAAGGAGATCGAATGCAGGACTTGTGTATTGGCGAAAACTATGCATGTCAAGACGTATGTTAAAGCTGTAGTTTGTGAGGCTGCATTAGCCGCAGCAACGAATTAGCTAGGGGCGTCGTGGCATCGTCCGTCATCATAGGGGTCTAAATAAGACGTTTACTGCAGGTCGTGACCTCGCACGCACAGCACGGGGGTAAAGCTTTTCAGCATAACCTTAAGCTGCAAGGCTTGAGAGGGATTTCAACGAGAAAGGCACAAGTCAGGATTTTCCCATACGGGCTGTATTCTAGTCACCCCCCCAAGTCATGTCGTGCTTGCCACTCGGTTTCCCAAATTTTCCGCACACGATTGCATTTGACTGATCGCATGGTGACTACAATTGAATGAAGATCAAGACTGTGATCGAAGGACTCCATACCAGATACCACACCAACCCTGCCAGGGCAGGAAACACTCAACAGTTCACGGAAAAAAACACAAACGTGTCAAAACACATATCCGTATGCATGGACCCCCACTTCGTAGTGTCCACAGGCCTTCTTCTCGCGTTCCCAAGAACAGAACGTGCTCCCCCCTCCTTCAAACTGTGTACGTGTCCCACATCTTTGAAAACGTGTCACCGCATCAGGAAGTATCGGCCCATCAGCTACATGAGAACCCCACAAGCTCCTGTGTCCACACCGCCAGTTGCCCCACGCGAATTCTTCATATGCCACATACGAAACCTCCGCGCGCACGCACATATATGCACACACATGAAAACATTAGAATATCCCACAGCATTTCTCCAGTATCCCTCCTGCATTCATGCCTCCCCGTTTGTTCCACTGGTAATTGTTTGGTCACCACGAATGCTTGGTTAAACTGACGGAGAGAGCGGAGAAGAGCATACCAGAAAACTGTCCATCCATTCCAGGCAAAAACATCTAAGTGGGTAATAACTTTCTTCACAGCCCCAGCCTGTTGTACCGCTCGCTTGCAAATACATCTCATCTTGGTAGCCCGTCCTGTCATAAGCCCTCTCCCTCCCTCATCAGCACCCCTTGCGCTGGCTTCTCGCATTCGTTTGTATTCGCACGCCACCGCTGCCGCTGCTAAATTCGCCGCTGTTTGCTACCATTGGCGCTTGCGCTACCGCCGAGCGGCAGTACGATTGGCCACTGCGCTACCTGGGGAGCCCCACTACGTGCTCGGGGGCCACTCCCTTGCTGAACAGTAGCTGGTACAACCGTGCGCTGCACTGGCTACCAATTTCACCCGCCAGGAGCTGCTCGGCGGCCGCGACGGGGTCGCGCCCCGCCGCCGCGGCGGTCCTCATGGCGACCTTGTAACTCTCCCACAGGAAGGCGGGGGTGCTGTAGCGAGCCAGGACGCGGTTGGCGCGCTCCTCTCCCATGCCTGCGGCGCAGCGTCAGGAAGGCGCGGGGAGGAAGGCCAAATGTCTGTTGGGTGTGCAGAAATTGCACCCTGGAAGGTGTGTGGACGGCGGCGACAAGCCAAACGACAGCAGCATGTCCGGTTAAGAGCGACAGGGGCGGGAGGCGTTGGAAAGGGAGAACAACGCATGCAGAAGCAGCAGAGCTGGAGGGGTTCCGAAACCTGCGCTAGATTGAATTATCAGGAAACACGCCGGGAAGTACGGTCTTACGTTATTGCGCAGAGCGGGACGCGCCCCGGCGAGGATTTATTGTTCGGGAGTGAAGCCCCTAGAGGGCTGGCCAATACAAGAAGCTGAATAGGTGGATATACATGGAAATGGGTCCTAACTAACCAAACACAATCAACAACGCGCGCGCACGCAACGGTGCAGCGTGCACCCAAGCACTGTATTAGGCCAGCAGAGTTGGCAAGCTGCTGAGGTCCCACCTGGCAAGCAGATGACCTGTGGCACTGTCGCCTTCCGGCCCGCCTAGTCCCACACGACCTCACATGATTTCGCAACATGACCTCGCACCACCACCACCACCACCACCACCACCACCACCACCGCCACATGAACCCCCAGGGACACCTCGCCTTTACCTACCTTGGACAGCGCACAGCATAAGGCCAAACATGGCCTGCACCTTCATGTTCTGCTTCAGGTTCTTCAGGCCAGCATCCCATGCCGTGTAGGACGGCAGCGGCTCCTCGCCAACGTCCTGGGCCCCTCCTACAGCCACGGCTGCCGTTCCATCCGACGAGCCAATGCGGCCGCGGCACTGCCTCTCCAGGGCCCGCGTCAACATGCAGAGCTGCCGCGCGGTGTCTTCGCTGTTGAGGGTCCTTAGAACTGTGAAGCCCTCCAGGAGCCCAGCTTGGACAGCCGTACGCAGAGTCTTCTGCTCCAGGGCTGTCGTGGTCGGGTGAGTGGGTGCAGATGCGGATGGATAGGTGAGAATGGATGGCAATGGTGAGTGGATGGGTGGGTAAAATAAGGGTTTACCCCAAAGCGTGAAGGTAGGGGACCGGGCCAAGGCCGCTGCGAGATGCTTGGCTTGGACCGACCTGCTTTATGCATGCCTGTAATAATGGTACACGCTAATCGCCAATCGCTCATTGCTCATATCCATCCATCCATCCACCCGCGCATCTGATCAAAAGTGATCGGCTTAGCAGCCAGCTCAGCTTAGGACCGGGCCCTCTCTGCCTAGGCCAACTGGCCCCGGGTAGCTGAGGCCTGTACTGCAATACTCCTAAATATCGTATAGCGTTGTAAAATGGAAAGCTTGCAGTGAGGGTGCCCTTGCGGAGTGCTCAGCGTGCTTGGCTCCTTCATCTCTCACCTGGGAACCCCTCAATGGATTCTTCCAGAAGGTAGTACAAGCGTCTCAGGCCGCAGCGCTTGAGACGGAACTTCTGTGTGACGTACCGCCCATCGCGAACAGAAGTCAAAAGGTCCTCTGTCCGCTTGCGTTCAAGGACGGCGTCGAGTACGTACCTGGCATGGCCGCGTAAAAGGGTGCCGAGATGGGACCCGTCCGTCCATCACATTCACAGGCCACAGCCCACCCCGTGGGGGACCAAACGTGCCAATACGCAGCTTTTTGCGCAGGATCCGCATCTCCATGACTACCGTCCGTGCCCACGTCCCCTCCCCTCTTCTCTTGGGAAAGCCTAGCTCCCACAACCCAGGCTGGCTGCATTATCATCCAACCCCTAAACGCGTTGTGCCAAGAGATAACAATTCTACCACATATTACCCCCACTTCCTTGGACCTCCAAAGCACACCCACAGCCGCACCTACCAGTGCTCCTTGGACGCCTGGCTGAGAGACGCGCCCTTCCTGGCCGCCACCCACAGAAAGTCCCCCACAGTCAGAGACACCCCAGGCACCATCCGCACGCCTTGTGTCCTGGTCTGGGACCGAAGCGCCTCCAGCAGGTTGGCTGGCTCCCGGTTGTCGACCAGGAGGACCACCTGAAGAAAGGAAACAGTTTTTGGGCGGGGAAAGGAGTGGGGATGGAGGGGAGTAATAGGAAAAACACAGCAAACTTAAGTACCGAGGTGCAATAACGGGAAAGGAGAGGAGAGGAGGCAGGATAAGAGCTGGGTGAAGAAGGCCTGCCTACGAGCTCATGATGGTCGGAAGTAAGCGGACGTAATCAGTAGTAGAAATGCCATGAATGTCACTGCTGCATGTTCCGAAAGAGAGGGCTTTTCGCAGCGCTATGAGTGGCCCCGGAACGAGGAAACGCAAGCTGCGTCTGTGACATGTGCCAGTGCGACCAAAGCACCCTGATGGTACACTCATCCCGACCGAATCGAAGGCTGTTGCCTTAAAACATCTTCCGTACGCACACTGTAAACACAATGAACCCGTAGATTATTTTAATATATTAATGACCGGACTCCTGTGACGCCTAGTGGACGACGGTGCGACTGAGGGAGGTGCGCAACGCTGCCCCCTACTACAAGGAGCAGCGACCGTGACTCACATCGTACACGTCCTCGAAGCGCTGACCCGGCGGCAGCGGCGGCAGCCTGATGGGCAGTGCTCGGTGGTTGGTAGTTACCTCGGATACACGCGGCAGCATCCACTCGTACGAGCAGAGCCTGGCAAGTGGAAGGGTGTGGAAGGGACCGTCGAAGCTATAACGTCGAAGAGCCACAAGAACAAGGACAAGAAGGACAACAACAAGAACGCACAGCCTAGGGACGTCAAAAATGCAGCAACACTAGCACAGCAGGGATTCATACAGTGTTGCACTAAGCATGAAAAAGCACTGATGCCGTGCGTTACCTGCTATGGATGCAAGCATTTGGCTGGACATGTCACCCCAGGTCCCAATGGTGCAGTGCATGCATCCCAGTGTCATGCTTTGGCCACACACAGGTATCAATCATCGGTGGCGCAACCGAGGTATAACACACACATACCCCTGCCCTGCCACAGTGAGATCCCAGCTAGGTGCTAAGTTTTTTCCATGGTCTTTATTCCTGAGAGCGTCGCGCGTCCACTCACGTCCGGTCGTCTGATCCTTCGCCAGCCTCGCCCTCAAGGTCCTGACTACCGCCACCGCCTCCCACCTGCTGGCTGCCCAGCACGTCCAGCTGCTGGGAGCCAGATCCCACTCGGTACGGCTGCTGCTGCGACCCGGATCCCATGTACGGCTGCTGAGATCGAAATCCCATATAGGGCTGCGGAGGTCCAGATTCCATATATGGCTGCTGAGACTCCAACCCCGGCGATTGGTGCTGTGACCCAAGCCCGTACGGCTGCTGTTGCGGCTGAGAGCCAACAGCTTGCTGGCTACTGCCGCCCGGGCATCCCGCCAGCGCATCCTGGAAGGACGGCGATGCACCGACTCGGGAACATAAAATTCCGTCCGCAGCCAGTCCAGGCATCAGGGCAGCTAAGCCCCCCGGCTGCTGCTGCTGTTGAGACGAAAGCCCTACAGTTCCTAGACCTGACCCGGAGCGCGGCAGGGGAGCCATGCTACCAGTATCAACAGCTACTGCACCCGTGGTGACGACGGAAGGGGCCGCGGCCTGCTTCGATAGGCCCTTGGCACGCGGAGGCCGCACACCGTCGCCAGCCCCCCCTGCAGCGCCGCCGCTAAGCGGGGGCAACCTGAGACGGCTTTCAGCCAGAAGCGCTGGCTGGGCCATCAGGTCCCCATCCGCCGTTGCTGTGGCAGCAGCATCCCTACCCCCTCGCCGCAGCACCTGGGCTTGGCTACCCTGGACTCCCCCTGCGGCGGCGTGGCTGTCGCGTTGCAATAACGGACCTGCCGGGTCCGCGCCGCGGAGCCCAGATTGGCTCAAGGGCCCGATGTCCTCCTCCCACACCAGGTCCTCCCCAGCCTTATCCTCCTCCGTGTCATCATCATCGCCATCGCCCCCGGACTCACGCCCCTCCCCTGGACCCACGGTTCCCTCGTCTAGCCGGTCCAGGGCCGAGGACAGGTCACCGCCCTCGAGAACCAGCGCCTGGATGGACGTTCGCGTGAGGAAATTGATAAATAAAACACCAGTAGTAAAGCGCGGGTGAAGTAAAGAAGTGCCAATCTTGCAGCAAAGGTAAAAACAGGAGCGAAGCGAGCGGAGGGCATCAAGAAATGGACAGGGCCCAAGGTTGTAAGACCAGAACATCTGCTGCTCCGACCGCACAGGCCGAGGGCGGGACGGCGCTTTAGTAAACAAGGACTAACTAGGCGTTCCACGTAAGCCGCGCGGTAAGGCACAGGGCGTGCGTTGCTGTATATTTAGGGTACACATATTTCGTATTGAGATAAGATGATGCGGCATGGGGAACCCACCGTCCGGCTGACAAAGTGCACAACGATGACAGATGCTGCTTTCTTCCTTTTCCTTTGCTCAACAACACAGTTGAAGAGGGAACAACGTGGCACTGCTCGCGTGGCACATCGCCTTGCATTAAAGAACCCCTTTAGTTCCCCTTTAGGGGATGAACTCCCGCCCCCTTGGGTTCCCCTAAAGTTCATCCCCAGTCGGCACATGCCGGATGGGATATCATGACCAACCTTGCGGGCCATGTCTCGGTCGAAGCCCATCTCCACCAGCTGCGCCAAGTCGGCCTCGTTTACCAATGCCCGCCGTGCTCGTTTCACCCTGGCACCTACCGCTGCTGGCCTTGCTGCTGCCGTGGGCTCTTTCGCAATGGCTGCGGTAACGGCAGCTGCGGTTGCCGCTGCGCCAAGCCCAAATAAACCTCCAGCTGCGAGGACCGCGCCGGTCTCCACTCCGCTTCCTGCAACCGGGAAGTCCTGGCTAGGAGATGCAGATGGTTGCAGCCCCTGATCCTGCTGCTGCTGCTGTTTAAGCTTTTGATGGCTTTGCAAGACAAAGGCGAATGAAGTGTCCAGCCCAGCGTTGCTCGCATGGCCCAGACCGAGGCCGCTGCCGACAGCGACAGTGGCGTAAACCGCGCCGGCATTGCCTTCATCCCCACAGCCGCCGCCGTCGACACCATCACCACCGTCATCCTCATCGCTGCTGTCTAAGAGTTCCACCACATCCACTTCGGGCCGGGCGCCGCCAGGTGACGCTCTCGTTCTTGGACGCGTCGTCGCTGCGCGCCCTGCCGCCGCCATCAGAGGTAGGTCCGGCGCGGTAGCGCCCCGTGGCGGCTGCACCGCCGCGTCTGCGGCCACCGCCGCCGCCCGTGCCTCCGCTGCCGCGGCAGCAGCGGCCGCCGGCGTCTGCGTCGCCTGACTCCTGCCGCCAGCCACACTGCCGCCGGCAGTCACGCCGATGGTGTTATGGATCCCAGTGGGTTGAGCCGCTGCTGATGCCGCCGCATTCTTAGCACTGGGGTTGTGAAAATCGCTCTCGAATGCCCTTCCTGCCCTTGCAAACACATTCGCGAGGCTGGCATCCGGTCGATGGAGCCCCGCCGCCGGGAGTGCCGATGGCAACCCCGGAGCGGCAGTACCTGCCGCCGCCCCTACATCCATTGCCGTCCGCAGCTGCACCCCCACGAGGCTGCCGCCCTGCGTGGCCATTAAGCCGGAAGGAAGACCCAATAGCCCCTGGCTTGCACCCAGCCCTCCATGTGCCGTAACGCCCGGCTGGCTGCCCGGCGCGGTGGCCAAACTGTCCTCCAGGTCTTCTCCTCCGTCGAGGCTGCTGGTGCCGTTGGTCTGCCGGCGACGCGGCCGAGCAGGTGCTGCGGCGGCGGCAGTAACGGCGGTCATTGGGGCCCCTGCCAGCAGGGGCGCCGCGGCTGCGACCGCGGCCGCTGCACTGCCTTGCCTGGGCCCAGGATCGAAGCCCTTGTAAGCGCGACCTGGGGCGAAAGCAAATTGGCGCCAGCAGGCGCGCGCGGGACCATAAATCTTGGGAGGAATAACTACACATACGCACATACAGTGAAAAAGAAACCCAGATCCAGGTCATATTTTAGGACGTTTCCAGCATATACCTGAGGCGACCCATCAAACATCGTGCTGACTATCGTAGCAAAATGCGCCTAGCTCCAGCTAATATCATAGCCCGGGCTGGTGAGAAAACTGGCAGCATCGTAGGGTCCCTTGACACGGAAACACCACAAGAGCCATCAGAAACACATTACGGTTATACGCTGACGCGAGTTTGGTTTTAAGGTGAAGCCGATGCCGGGGCCGCCGCCATGTCGTCCTTCGGAACAGGCAACGGGCGATGGACAACTTGCATGGCCAGCCCCAACCCAAATCAAGGGCCATTCCTGTGCACTCTCTGCCTGTGGATTAAAGCTGTAAAGGCCGCAGTACCAGCGTAATCCATCTCTGTCACCAGCAGCAGCCGCAGTCAGCAGACAGCTTACGCACCTCGAGGCTTCGTCGGCGTGCCGTTAGGGTAGGCCTGAAATACGGGCACCATGTCCTCAACTTCGCAGTAGAGCCGGATGTCCTCGTCCACTTGGGCCTCAGTCACACCCACCAGAGGCTGCACCTCGCGATACCTTTCCATGGCCCAGCAGACGGCAGCAAGGAGAGAAGTAGTCAACCCTAGGAATGAGCGCATTGGAGCCTCCGCATAGACTAAGGCAGGGGAGCCCCTTCCGGGGCCCCCATACCCTGTCTGCATCACCACGCTGCACACACGCAGATGCACACGCACACACACCTCAGCGCGGACTTGTACAGTCGAGCTGCCATTGCCCAGCCATGGTTTGTGAGTGTGAACTCCTTGCCACGGGCGCCCTTGGACTTGGTGCGTTCACTGGCCAATGGGGGATCGCGGGTAATGAGTTTCTGCGAGGGGAAGGGACACCAGCACCAACCAGCACCAACACCGGCGCCGGGGAAACAAGGGAGATGCCGTGATGGTTGGATGGTGGAGTGCAAAGGATGTTTGCAGTAGAGACTGCTTGCGGTGGAGCAGCTGGTCGTGCTTGGTTGATGCGCCCTGACATGCCTGCTTTTCTTCTTCTTCATCAAAAACCTAAGCACGAAATTGGGCACGAGGCGCTGCGAGATGCGACCTAGGGAAAAGCCAACAGGACCCTGACGGAAAAAACAAACGCATGTGGGATGGCGAGTCTGTAGTCGGCCGGGGCGCCCAGCGTGCCGTCAGCACTCTCACGGAGACCCCGCCGTGCAAGATCTCCAGAGAAGCGCCGCCCGCAGGAGAATTATGAGGATTAGGATTAAGAGGAGGAAGAAGTTCCGTAATGATAGCGGCAACGTACCCTAAAGCTCGACCAGCCATCATAGAAGTTGGAGACATTGCCGGGCGCCGAGAGGTCCTTGACACCACGGATGTCCTTCTCCGACAGTCCACTGGCCTGGGTCACGTCCATGAGCTCGTCCTTGTCCCATTGCCGCCGCTTGTCGCGCTTCCAAGCCTCCGTAATGAGAAGGGGCAGGGCCAGGAGGTGCGTGGCTCGGGATCAACTGCAGTGTTGGAATAAAACCAACAGAATGATAACATCCATCCTGCAAAGGTCCAGGTGCTCACCAAACACAACCCAGCGCTGTCAAACTACTAAGGCTAGGTACTAAAACAACCATGTGCCTTCAGCCTCTACACATCAACGTCTGAGTCCTGCCATTTCCCATCTGGGTCGCATCGCCAGAGACTGAAGCCCGCCATGCCTTTCTTAACCTTACCATTCGCTTCCCACAGTACCCGCAGCACCTCCCTAGAGCCGGTAATCTTCCAACCATCCGTTGCATCCCATACACCTAACTCACCATGCTGTCAGCTAATCCTGGCTTGCTGGGACTCTATGAATTGCTGCTTTGGTAGTGCGGTGTAGCTGCCGACCCGTTAACTCGGAAAAAATACCCCCTTTCCGGCACCCTCTGACCCACATCATCAGCACGTACGTAGGGATGCACGCTAGGAAGCCGGATGTGCGGCGAACCCGTGTAGTACCGTGCTCACGCGACGACACGCACCATGTACATTACTATTAAAAAGGCGTAGTTGGCCGTGCCAGGATTAGGGGCATATGCAAGACCCGCGCCGTCGGGCCCTCCGCTCTGCCGTCGGGCTCGCTTGCGCTCCGGTGCTGCGGTCACCACGCCTTGCACCGTCACGCCGCTGCCGGCAGTATCCCCGTCCATAACGCCCGAGCCGTACGCGCCGTATGTTCCAGCAGCAGCCGTGGCCCCAAGCCCCCCACCAGCTCCGTACACACCGAGCCTTAGACTCCCGTTGTTGAGGTTCGCAGGCGCTAGTGCTACAACGTCATCGCCGCTGCCGTTGCCATCGCTCCCAGCGTTCGCAACAGCTACTAAACGCTTGCCGCGACCGGCACCCCGGCCCGCTCCTCGCCCAGAGCCTCCACCACCACCACGGCTGCGGGTCCTGCCGCTGCCAATGCCCCCAGCCGGCGCGTCCCCGCCGTCTGCCCCAGCCACTGGAACCACCAGAGTATCTCCAAAGGGAATGTCATGGGGTCCTAAGGCGGCAGCGGCTGCTGCTGCCGCAGAGCCGGCAGCGGCGCGCTTGCCGCGACCCCGACCGCGGCCACCACCTGTCAGGGCCGCCGGGGCCAACGCGGCGGCCTGCCGCACCTCGTCCTCCAACTGCTCCTCCTCTGAGTCAGGATCGCCGGGTGGGAACTCGTGCCAAAGAACTTCCGAGACCAGCTGCGGCCGGGAGAAAAGGTTGCCCGAAATTAGGAGACGCAGAAATGAGGCCGAACTAAGACCGAGCCGCCAGTGACCCAAATGGGAAAAGTGGAGTGAGGCCTGAAAGCTCCATGTCACTTCCACTAATTCTTTAATGCGACGTGCGCTATGTAACGGTAGAGGAGGCGTGTATACCGACGGGATCCAAAATATTTGGCTGCTAGAGGCAAGTTGCAAGATACAATACGCTGCGAGGCAAAGTATCGAATGCCAAGGCGTGCACGTGGCCAGGTCCAGGAGTGGTTAACGGAATGGTTCAAACATTTTCGTTGTGCTGCGGTGTGCGCTGTTGCGTGAAGGCAGCGACTCCGTCACAGCATTAACGCGCAGCCTGCGCAGCGTCAACAGGTGTTGAGATGCAGGCGCAGATGGGCGTACCTGCCAGTGGTAGAGTGATGTGAAACCCTAGACTATTGGGACCGAACCCTGAAGGTGATGCTTGCTGTGGAATGAGCCAGGAGTTCGTCGCCGGGGTAGCCGCGAGCAGAGGTTGGCCCGAACGCATCTCACCAACGGACACGTTGCAACCCACATCAAAATCCATGTCCCAGCAGCTACAATCCGAACCTTGGTAGTGAAATCTCCAATCCCATGGACTGCCTTCAGCTGCTGTGCGGTACGGATGCGCGTCGGATGCTGACCAACGCTGCGAGCAGCCTTATACAGGCTTGTAGCCCAGCCTGAACGCGCCCCTTCGTTCGCATCCTCAAGCCGCTTTACGGCCCTGGTGAAGGCAAACCATAATGCCAGGGGTGAGGCCTGAAGCATGGCGTTCCGTTAGGCTAGGGGTCACGCCAGATAGATGATGACCGGCAAGCGCGCCAATACGCTCTGATAACATCTGGCTGCCAGTTTCTGGCTGCGCTAGCCATACTTCTTACTCACCGCAAAAAATACACAAGCTCAAGGTTTCCAGGATTGCAGACGCCGGGTTCGCGACGTCCTGCGTCATCTTCCGCTTGATGATGGGCTTCAGCTGCACATGGTATATACTTTTGAAAGCGCTTACTACCTCCACTGGCAACTCCAGTCTTTGTGGTGGTAACCGTCGAAAGCATTATTGCAGCTGTTCCAGCAGCAAAAATTAAGTCATCCTGTAGGCATATTGAAATATACAAAGCAGGGAAAAACTTTAATGATTCTCATTCTGGATTTGGGGAAGGTAGTCTCGCGCCACGGCCGCAGCACGACAGCACGACAGCAGTGGACTCCTTGGTCAATGCGACATTTGCAGCACGACTCATAAGCATGCTGAAATAAAATATCTTAGCGTTTACATTATATCACTAAACAGTTTTCCTGTCTGTGGCTGCATTGATGCCAATTGTGGTGCATATATTACTTACAGTAAACTATAAGTGAGCGCTGCATCAGTGTTCAAGTTCTGATATCTAAGCGCTGCTATCTATTTGGTTATAATGCTGTGCAATATTCATGGTGGTCACATATGGGGTTGCAAACAAGGGCGAAAGGCATCCCGAGTTGTCCGGGCGTGTCCTACAAGCCTTTCAGCAACAAGGTTGTTGCTTGAAGAACGCCTCCATAGACCTATCACGCATGCGGTATACAGTGAGATTGCAAACCTTCAGGGTAAGTTGATCGATGACAAAGCTCGATTAAGTTGCTCTGCGTTTTGCATGGGATAGTGCATATGCATCTCGCACGTGCTCTCGATGCAATGCTCTCCTATCATCACACCACAGCAAAATTCCCAAGCATATGCAACGCACGGCATACGCAGCCCTACTTCGAATCTATGCCTTCGCATTTCGTGCCTGCAATTGCAGAGCCCCAGTGGATCAATAATCAGCTTCGGTGGTCACGGCCTCCCGGGATTCGCCAAGTGGATGCTCCCCCGGGCTCCCCACCCATCGTCATCCTCCCGGGTTTCGGGAACGCATCCACCGATTACACAGAGCCCTTTGGTAACAAGGAGGCAGCCCTCGCTACACGCTTAGCTGTAAGAGGAAATGCACGTGTGGCTTGGTGCTGGTGGTGCTAATTGCTGTCCAGGGGTTGGAAGCTGCACAAATTTACGTTGCACATAGGGCTTCGAACATCCTCCTCCTTTTCCTTCTCACACGGATAATTCTATTAGCCCCCAAGTAAATCACGCACATCGTCTCCGAAAGCCACTCGTCTTTTGCTTCCCTGCCACCCCAGCAGTCCACTCCATTTCAGTTAGCCTCACGTCACGTACTCTCCTGGCATCCTAGCACCCAGCTCAAATCCCCCTCGTCGTGCCGCTGCAGGTTCGGGGCTGGCAGTCATTCGTGATTCCAGTGGAGCGAAAGGACTGGTTCCGGGTCGCGAGGGCCGTATTAACCAGGCGCTTCTGGCAGGGCACCCTGACCACACACCCGGGCTATACATGGTGCGTAGCTGGGGGGGGGCCAGTGGAGCCCCGGCTGTCAGGATTGGGGGAGGACGGTCCTGCCTCCATGGGAGCATGGAGGCTGCGGCCTGATGTATGACCACATGCCTTTCTGCGGCCGTCTTCCTGCGAAGATTTGTGCTACGACCAACGAGGATTCTTGAAGCCCCAAGGCAATGCGAGCTTGTAGTGATGGGCAAGATTCCCGGCGACGGATGGGGACGTGGACGGGGCACGTGCTATGCAGTGAAGTGGAATGCATGAAACGTCGTTCGAGCTGCAGCTGGGACCTGGCTTGCCTGGGACTTGGTGGGGGAAGGCTGCCTCTGCATGGCCCTCTCGCTTACAGCTGTGCGCCCAGTGGTAGCCGATAAGGACGGGACATGTGCGAATCTGTGTGCACTACTTCATACTTGACCCGCTGAAATACCACACGATTCCCCCCAATCCGTCGGGGCCACCGCGGACAGTGCAGGACGCGTAGCACATCCTGCTTGCCGCCTTTCTTAGCTAGACGCCCTTTTCCCACTTGTACAGGTACCTTGAGCGAGTGGCAGCGACCGTAGAGCAGGCGATGCGCGAGACGGGCGCGGAACAGGTGAGCGGGTGGGGGGACTCCCAGCACCGACCGTGCAAGCTTATCCTAACATATTTGATCTGGAATGACATCCTTGTATCGTGTGCCAACAGCGAATGTGCAAGGGATTCGCATGTAATGGGGGTCCGCGTGTAATGATGGTTGTGGGGACTTCTTTAATCTCTCCTATTTTTTTTTGGTAGGAATTATTACCCTGACCCTTCGATAAACAACACATGTATGTGTTCGGTCATCGTGCGCCAGGTGATCCTTGTGGGGCACTCCGCGGGCGGCTGGCTGGGACGTGCCTACCTGGCGGACCCACGCTACCAGCGCTGCTGGCCCCAAGTACACGCCGCCGCCGCGGACTCGACAGTTGTGGTGTCACCCGCTGCCACTGTCACAGACGCGGCCAGTGCCGTTGAGCTGCCTGCTCCCGGCACTGCGGGCACCAAGCCCAACCCGCGTGTCCGTGCGTTGGTTACGCTAGGCACGCCGCAGCGACCGCCGCCCCCGGAGAAGAAGCGGGACATGACGGGTGGGTGACGGCTTTGGGATTGGGCGCCGCTACGTAGGTGGATGAGGTGGGGCATGCTCTCTGAGGTACACGGTGCATGTGTTTTTTTCTGCTGCTACCTGTTGCTACATTTACATGGCATAGGAGGCTTATCCTTGGCGAAGTAAGCCAGGAGAGCTGGGGAATCTGCGCACGAGGCGCGTGCTTGTACGCACAAGCAGGGTAAGGGGCGCCAAAGCGATCCTGGCGTCACGTGTCTGCTGCCCGCTTAATCCAAACTAAACTTATCTTGCATTTGTTAGCCAAATCCTGTCTAACCCTGTGTCTAACCTTACCCACTTTCACATCTCGCCGCGCAGGCGGTGCGCAGGGCTGGGTGGACCGCTGCTACCCGGGCGCCTTCTTCGCGGAAAGGGGGGTCAGCTACGTGTCCGTGTGCGGCCGCACCGTGCGAGGCCACCGGGACTTCCCGCGCCCCCGGAAGGGGCCCCGTCTGGCGGAGGAATACGCGTATGATAGCTACTGCGAGGTAGGACTGGGAGGTGGCCTGGGAGTGTCTGGGCTGCGGCTTCTGACCAGATTAAGCAGGCTTATCGTTTAAAAATAACATATTGACCAGGACAGGGCAGGGTAGAGCATGGGTGGGAACGGTGGCAGTGGGAAGATCCCAACGGCGTCCCAGGTCCGTGGCGTCGATTGCAGTATACACTGTTATGTCAACAGGATGCGGCGGGTAGACTGGGGGCGTTAATTGCAAAACCGAACCGCGTACCTACACCGCAACCTCATTAGCCGCAAGTGCGCACCCGCAATACACCTTTCCGCTGTTCTCCGTTTCCTGTCCTGCTGTTGGCGCAAGCCTGCGTGTGTGTCGAAATGGTTTGTGTCCCGAGTGCAAACATGTTACTCGTTGCCTAGAGCTAGGGACCTGTCCTTTTCTGTCCACCTGAGGAAATAGGTCCATTCCGTACTTTCCCTGGGTCGGTTCCGTACACTCGCAGGTGTGTGGTGAGGGCGAGAACGTGGCAGGCGACTGTGTGGTGCCGTTGAGTAGCGCCATGCTGCCGGGGGCTCGACAAGTGGTCCTGGACGGGGTCTTCCACTCCATGTCCAAGATTGGCACGTTTGACGAGGAGTCAGGTATCTCGGGTGTATGTGTGTGTGGTAGGAGACCCCTCGTGTGCCCGTTATCCCGTCGTCTGCCCGTACTGTGCGAACAGAAACCTCACTCTACCTAGTTGTCTGTTGTTATGGGGACTGGGCCATTACATGACACCATTCCACGGTCAGGGTCACGTGGCCATTACAAAGTAATTCATCAGTCGGCCGGAGCGAGGAAAGGAGACTCATGTGCTGTAACGATCTGATCCGCGACTCCCGTGCGAACGTGGCTGGCCTGGAAGGCCACGTCCCAATTCCTTCAGTGGGAGTGAAAATAAGAAAGGCTGGTCGCTCGCCGCCGTGCCCGCGTGCCGGTATACATGGGCCGCTGCCAACACTGGTACCTTAGACGGCTAATTGAGACCGACCGCGATCCAAGAGCGTCGCTATCCAGTGTTGCTGCCTCATGTGTTTTGCGGCAACGGCAGGAGTGGTATGGTACGGCAGTGAGGACGTTCTGGATTGCTGGCTGGCGCCCCTGGTGGAGGAGCTGCAGAGCTGCACGGGTGCAGAGCTGGTGGCGGCTAGTGCGGCTGAAGAGGCGCAGCAGTAGCTGGTGCTTGGTGGCGAGGGCCCAGCAATAGCGGAGCCGCTTTGACGACTGGCAAGAGCGAGAGCAGCATGGCGGATGAGTGTTTCTGTATATTGCGACGCAGAAGCAGCATCAGCAGTGGTGGCGGCGGCGGCTGCTTGCTTTGCTGCTTAACGAGAGGCAGCGAGGAAAAGTTGTATTTCGCCCGTTTTTTTTCAGTTGCGAGTGCAGGAGACAACGTGCAGAAGCGAAGAACGCTGCAGCCACACATAATTAAATCGCTGGTCGCGCATGGATAACCATATATTTCTTTAATTTTCTTTTCTTTGAAGAATTTCTGGAATTGAGGACCGTGCCGGACGGTGATTTTACACACTACCCTTAATATACCAATCTATAGGATGAAATTATGTTTGCATCTGATGTTTTGAGGTGTCGGCGGAGGATGCACTTTTGTTTCCTGTGTTCATGTTTTACTCGGTGGCTTATGATAATGGGGCGTCTGTATGTCTCGGAATGGGGCAAGTATACCCAATGGCGTGTTTCCTTGCCTATAGTTATATAGCTTGGCTGTATGAAGGAAGGTCAGCCGATAGTAAGGACGTGTGGAGGAAATGTATACGGACCTTTAACAACTTTCGGGCTCCTTTCCAGCTAACGATTTTCAATCCTGCCTTAACTGCTCACTGGCTCGGGCTATCTACCCTTATGTTTTAGGATGTTCTGCGATCGGTCATGATCCGCGCTCTTTGCTTTGCCATGGCAAGGCGTCGAAGGACGGCTGCAGGACAAAATGGGCTAATCAGGACCATGGCTAACATAGAGTGACAAAGTGTGACAGCTGAGCTGACAGTCATGTTGCGATAATTTGTATCCATTCGGATACAGGTCACATAAAACTCAGCAAACTCGTGGTGATTGCTTCCCGTCAGACAAACAGCGCTACGCCCCGTTACACCAGGTTGCGCCGACATACCCCGCAGCTGGCAAAGATACGAAAGGAACAGAGGGAATCTGCTTATTCGTTATCAGTTGACTCATTATCGTATCTGTCAACCGGAAAGCTCTTGCCAAGCATCAAACTTATGCAAATTTGCCCCCCGCCATGCTGCAGCATCAACTAATGTTTTGCCCCACGCCGCTTCCTCGGCCCCGACTTCCACTTCTTGGAAATGTGAACGTGCTGCCTGTGGCGCTGTGCGTGCGGAAAGGAGAGGAACGGGCCTCCTCTGCACCCGCAGGATACCGACAAGGGCGGCCATTTTCAATTTCTGTTCGGGTAGAGGAGTAGGACTGGGTTCCGATGGTGTCAGCGGGGTTCCTATGGGTGATGCGGACGGGTCCGGACCGTGTGTGGAAGATGCATGTGCGCGAGCGAGGCAAGGCTTAAACATGAGTGGACTGTACAGGAGTTTGTCGGTAGTGTTTGGGCTAGCTGCTGCTACATATATATGTCGGATTTATTGCTGGGGAGATATATCTCTGGGGCGGCCGCGGGTTGCGGCGGCGGCAGGTGATAAATAGCTCTTGAAGCAATAAATCCGAGAGATGTGAGCTGGATAATGCGTAAGGGGAAGTCGATACAGCATTTTTTTCGAGTTTGCTTTTCAGAATCCAAGCGTTGGTTCATGGCAGCTAGGACAACCGTCAACCTCCGCGAACGCAAACTTAGGCCCCGCATGGGAATGTGCTGTTGTAGGAAGAAGTCATTGGCTATAAAGTTTCATACGGTATTTATGTATATATACATGTGTGTGTGCGTGTGTGTGTATGTGTGTGTGTGTGTGTTACACCTCGGTTGCGTTACCCAGAGAGGTGTTACGAGCACACACGAGCCAGAGGGCCAAGAGCTTAGAAGCCACAAGTTAGATTAGGGACATAGTACAACGCAAAAGTTATCGCCTTCCAATAAGTTGACACGACCGTTGATGGTGGAGTGCTGTCAGTGTTCGTGCAGAGTTTGCCTACACTACTACTACTACTACTACTGCTACTACTACTACTACTACCCCCTGGCAGTACGTATGGAGCGCATATGCTACCGTAGTCGTTCAGCACAAAAGCCAACTATCAGGAAACCTTTTCCAGACTCTTCTTGTAAACTACAGCTGAACCATAAACAACGGGTTTCCAGGTCAACAGCCAGACATTTGTACGGTGTCGTACATGTGCATAGGACGACAGGGCTTGCCAACCAGGGGCAACCTGGTAATATAACAACAACATACAAACCCTTTGGCATTAATCACCTTTGCTCCCAGCCCGCGTTTAATTGGAAATGTGCGAGGGCTCGGGCTCCAGTCAAAGGGAGCATCACATCTATGTCTCAAAGTGTGAAAGGCTTGTTTTTGCATGTGATGACACCCAGCAGTCGGAACTTAGCGTCATTAGACATTAGAGACGTCAACAGTTACGGCTATCAGGCCAGGTAGTACCTGCCAAAGATAACGCTCGCTATCTGGGCTTGGTATACGGCCAGAACGGCCTTTTAGTGCGTGCCGTCAGCAGTTATGTGATACAGGTCGGTCCGTTATGTTCTCCTTAAGCGCAAAGCTGGACAAAATGAAGCTGTTTGCCCCCGACGTGCGAATGCGGTGCTTTGCAACCCAAGTCCGATTAATTCTGTTGTATGGCTGCCAGGCGTGGGGCCCTTTTGCGCTGGCAGAGGTCGTGGACAGGGCGGGAAGGCAGCGGGATAAAGCCAACCTTGCGGAGGGCATGTTCGAAGCCTGTTTGAAGGATAGCACACTACAGCTGCATATTTTAATCATGAGGCAGGTAGTGGGGACGGCACGGCCATCCCACAGGCTGTTGTATGCGGAGCTGGCTGAACTCCCCTTACAGTATTACATGGTGAAACAGATCCTCCGTTTCTGGAATCGCCTTCAAAAGCAAGTGGGATCCATTGCTCATGCAGTTTTACGGCAGGAGATAACCGATGCCCTGACCAACCCGGAATGGGAGGGTTGGGGAACCTCAATGTTACGACTGTTTTCCTTCTTGGAGTGCAATATTTGGAGCGGAGAAGTTAAGGGGGTAAAGGAGCGTGTTGACTGGTTGTTGAGTAGGCCTCTACCCGAAGGAGCGATGATAACGGCACTAAGAGAGCGTTTGATGAGCGGCTGGGACCATACGCGTCTGACTGTCTTGCCAGAGGAGTACCCATCAGATGGGAAGCAACCGGGAGTGCAAAGGGCGAAGTATAAGCACTGGATGGGGCTGCCCTTTTCGGGAGCCGCAGCCGTCATGTGGCCAACACATGCTTCATTCCTCGTTTAGCACGTCGTAAGCTAATGCAGTTTCGTTTATGTTGCTGGGCTCTCGAGGCAAACAGAGCACTTTAGTTCCCCTAAAGGGGATGAACTAAAGTTCCCCTTTAGGGGAAGAAAAAAGGAAGTACCATGTCCCCAGGGGGCAGCGGTTTTGCCGCTGTTGTGGTACTAATAGCCGAATCGAGGATGAAAAACACGTGTTATTGGAATGCCCAGCCTATAATGTTATTCGTCCTGAAGAGGGATTCGATCATCAGAGCATGTTGGAGGCCATGAAATGGGAACCAATACGTCTGGCGAGTATGTTGAACGTATGTGGGCTCACCGAAACTCAGTTACCCCTTTTGGGCGCTAGTCTGGGCTGATGTGCGGTGTTTCCTGTTCGCCGTGGCTTTTAGGCGTTGAAGTATTGCCCTTGGGCCTTCGGCTCGTATGGGTAGTCTTACAGGTATGGGGTCACGCACCGCCAACCATGTAACACACACACACACACACACACACACACACACACACACACACACACACACACACACACACACACACACACACACACACACACACACACACACACACACACACACACACACACACACACACACACACACACACACACACACACACACACACACACACACACACACACACACACACACACAAGTGCGGATAGGATACATGAATTTCATGGACAATATATGTCTTCATTATGTCGCTCTTCCTTGCTTGGTCTCCATTGCTGCTTCTGTAACCTTCCCCTCGGAGCATTTCTCTAACAAGGCCATACGTAAGGCCATGCCATCAATTTCGCCATTGAACTGCATGCTCAGGGTTCGTATGTATCCCACTGCGTAAAAAATGCTCACAAGGAATCAGGTGGAGAAACTTTATGCGCAGAAGTCGTGGTGGTGATGTGGGGGGTTCCCCTGACCTGCCCTGACCCGCCGGAACTGTGGCCCAGTAACATTACAGTATGCAGTTGTTACGCGCACAGAACTCATCCTTTCCGCTTTGTCGGCTTTAAGAAAGCAGTAATCCATCTTGCTGTTGTGGACACCGCGTTACACTGCCAAATAGCTGAGACGCGGCTAGTCGATGTTTAAGGAATGGAATTCGAGTGATGTCCGTTGTCTCATCGTATCTGTGAGGCTTTGTCATGGCCCCTATACAGGTTACTGGCTTGCAGATAGATGCATGCGAAGATACCATTTGAAAAAACCGGGTTGCCTGCGCGCTGGCTGGTGGGCTGGGACGAACGTAAGTAGGTCGAAAGCAGTGCGGCTAGTAACCGACTTGGTTGTTGGTCCTCCTTCCTAGCGCTTCCTAAACCAGTGTGTGAACCAGTGTAGACCCCGTGTATGAATGCCGCTATGTATTTTATGTAAAGCTATTATAGGTATCTTGCATCATATCTTACGCGGTTGGTATTGTCTCCTCGCTGTTCTCCCTTGCGTCCCCATCAGTCCCCATAAACGACCTCCTTTGCCTCCTTGAAGTATCAATAAACAGGGTAGCGGCGGTTGGCGTACGGCCCATCGAACGCGACAAGACCCTGTTGAGACGTAGCAGATATGATGTTGATATCCACTTACGCTCTATGCAAAACCGCCGCCTGATTCAGCACTGTTCCTGTAGCACGAATGCGAAAATGTACATCGCACTTCATCGATTAGGAATGGAGCTCTTAATTGATAAACTTTTGCATGATAAGACGGCATCTGATTATTGCATATCTTGCACTGTCGTGTGCGAGCAGCCCGACTGCACGACTGTGATACGGCTAGAGCCGCAACGGCGCAAGCAAACTTGAGCCATCTCATCAATGAGAAGTTGATAATAAAGTTTAGATCTTCAAATTAATTGCTAGGAGTTTCCTTAAGGAAACCTCAACTTGTCTGGAAGAAACCCGTTATATCCGTTTTTGTACGTCTACTGCTCACACGTTTTGACTTTAACGAGGCCTCCAAGAACCTTAAGTTTAAATATTAGGTACAAGCCTAAATTATTTTGTTATAGCGTGCCATTAAACCTTCAGTCCAAAGCTCTGCCTCATGTATCGGCATTGGTCCGATTCCTCAATTTGATAGATGAAAAGATAATTAAGATAAGGAAATTTGTTCTTGGTTAAGTTTAGCAGTAGGGCGCCATGGGGCGCGTCAGATGCTGCTTATGCTGGGAGGCGAGCTGGTGCTCCTCGTTCATACTTTTGGTTCTGACGCTCCTCATAACAAAAACGACTATTATGGCCTCAGAATATGTGGACGGAGCGTCATTGGAACTTGCCCCCGGTGAGCGGATAGGCAGTGTAGACATAGTGCATTGAACTGGCCCAGCTCATCGCGTTACCGTAAAATGCACCACTAAATCAAAATGGAGTAACTGTTTTCACACGATTGCGATGTGGGCTTATGAAAACTGTGCTCGTTTGTAAACATCTGCAGAGGACACAGATGGCGGAAACCGTCGGGAGCTGAACGGCCTATTGTCAGGGGCGCCCAGCAGTCCTCCATATCCAGACGGATCAACGTCAGTAGAAAAAGGGTGGCTGGAGTCGCCGTTATCACCAGACCGGGTCGGAGACTCGCCACCGTCAGGGTACAGCTGCTTGTACTCGGATCCTCAGAATTACATCTTACCCAGCTCAAGCCCCAATGTGGTACGTCCCTTATTCACGTGGTCTAGGAAGCTATCACGCGCGCTTGATGATTCGCTATTTCGTTAAGTTCATCATGTAAAAACGAAATGGGAACTGCGATAGCCGATAATAAACTTTTGTATCGTTTACCCAACGACAGAACGTCATGGATTCGTGTGACCAGCAAGCGAATTGCCTGGACATCTTCATGGACAGCGGCACCTGCAAGACGGTGACGGGTTCGAATGCCTCCTGGCTATACTGTGAAGTATGTCTGTACTGGAGCAATGTCCGGGGCACGTGCGCCAAGTCTACTGGGGACACGGTCAGCCACGTGTGTATGGGCGACGAGTTCTACCCGGTGATTGCAACTGCCGGCGGTCAGCCTGCAGCCGGGAATACGCAGAAGCTGGACGGCTGGAGCAATGGAGCAGAGAGTAAGTGACTAGCATGTGCTTGCACCATGCACGGGGCGTTGCTTCCAGGTCTTCTTTGCGCTAAAAGCCATCATGCGCATGTGACTGCTACCTACTTTCCGCAGATCGCTACTGCCAGTGGGTCCGCTGGAATAGCAGCAACTTCGATACGGAGCTGGTCCACTTCACGGTCAAGGACGGCACTGGAGCCTGTCGCGATGGTAAGGAGGAGGGGAGCTCACTGACTCGAATGCATCGCCATGCATCTTGAACGTGCAACATCCAAGTCAAGGTAGTTTGCACAGATGGACCCCGGGCATGATGCACTAACATGCCATGACTTCCTGTCCCCCCTCCCTGAAACGCTGTGTGCACTGCAGCTCCGGGCCCGCTGCAGGTCACTCTCCAGGGCCTCACAGCTACTTGCCAGGCCCCCCGGGTCGTTAATAACACGCTGGCAGGCTGCGGGACTGGAGACCAGGCCAACGAATGTCTGTGGAGCTTCAATGTGCCACGGCCTGGAACGTCTGCATTCAAGTGCGCGTCCTCCCCACCGTTACCACCTGGGCCGCCAAGTACCAAACCACCGCCACCCTCGCCACCGGTGCAGTCACCCTCGCCCCCACCGAAGGCGCCTAGCCCTCGCCCACCCTCACCTTCACCGCCCAGCCCTCAGCCGCGATCTCCTTTTCCGCCAAGCCCTCGCCCACCCTCCCCTTCACCACCCAGGCCTCGCCCACCCTCCCCTTCACCACCCAGGCCTCGCCCACCCTCGCCTCCACCAACCAGCTCTCCACCGCCACCACCTAGCCCTTCACCACCATCGCCTTTACCACCCAGCTTTTTACCGCCATCGCCTCCACCGCCCAGCCCTCGCCCTCCATCGCCTTTACCACCCAGCCCTCCAGCGCCGTCTCCTCCCCTGTCAAGCGGTTGCCTCTATTCGAATCCGGGCAACTACAGCAGCATCTCTCTGGGCAGCGCGGAGGTATGTGCCTGATTTAGCTTGCTTTGTTACAGGGAATTATACTCTTTCCATTTTACTGAGACGTTTGTTCCCTTTTATGTCTTCAGGGTGGCATCGAGACCTGCTCGGACCAAGCTGGCTGCCTAGACATCTTCATGGACAGCGGCACCTGCAAGACGGTGACGGGTTCGAATGCCTCCTGGCTATACTGTGAAGTTTGTCTGTACTGGAGCAATGTCCGGGGCACGTGCGCCAAGTCTACTGGGGACACGGTCAGCCACGTGTGTATGGGCGACGAGTTCTACCCGGTGATTGCAACTGCCGGCGGTCAGCCTGCAGCCGGGAACACGCAGAAGCTGGACGGCTGGAGCAATGGAGCAAAGAGTAAGTGACTAGCATGTGCTTGCACCATGCACGGTGCGTTGCTTCCAGGTCCTCTTTGCGCTAAAAGCCATCATACGCATATGACTGCTACCTACTTTCCGCAGATCGCTACTGCCAGTGGGTCCGCTGGAATAGCAGCAACTTCGATACGGAGCTGGTCCACTTCACGGTCAAGGACGGCACTGGAGCCTGTCGCGATGGTAAGGAGGAGGGGAGCTCACTGACTCGAATGCATCGCCATGCATCTTGAACGTCCAACATCCAAGTCAAGGTAGTTTGCACAGATGGACCCCGGGCATGATGCACTAACATGCACTATTCCTTAACTTCCTGTCCCCCCTCCCTGAAACCCTGTGTGCGCTGCAGCTCCGGGCCCGCTGCAGGTCACCCTCCAGGGCCTCACAGCTACTTGCCAGGCCCCCCGGGTCGTCAATAACACGCTGGCGGGCTGCGGGACTGGAGACCAGGCCAACGAATGTCTGTGGAGCTTCAATGTGCCACGGCCTGGAACGTCTGCGTTCAAGTGCGCGTCCTCCCCACCGTTACCACCAAGCACGAACGCACCGCCACCCTCGCCACCGGTGCAGTCACCCTCGCCGCCATCGAAGCCGCCCAGCCCTCGCCCACCCTCCCCTTCACCACCCAGGCCTCGCCCACCCTCGCCTCCACCCACCAGCTCTCCACCGCCATCGCCTCCACCACCTAGCCCTTCACCACCATCGCCTTTACCACCCAGCTCTCAGCCGCCATCGCCTCCACCGCCCAGCCCTCAACCGCCATCGCCATCACCTTCCAGCTCTCCACCGCCATCGCCTGCTCCACCCAGCCCTCCACCTCCATCCCCTGCTACCCCCAGACCTCCCCCACCCTCGCCTTTACCGCCAAGCCCTCCACCGCCATCGCCTCCACCGCCAGGCCCTCCACCGCCATCGCCTTTACCACCCAGCCCTCCAGCGCCGTCTCCTCCCCTGTCAAGCGGTTGCCTCTATTCGAATCCAGGCAACTACAGCAGCATCTCTCTGGGCAGCGCGGAGGTATGTGCCTGATTTAGCTTGCTTTGTTACAGGGAATTATACTCTTTCCATTTTACTGAGACGTTTGTTCCCTTTTATGTCTTCAGGGTGGCATCGAGACCTGCTCGGACCAAGCTGGCTGCCTAGACATCTTCATGGACAGCGGCACCTGCAAGACGGTGACGGGTTCGAATGCCTCCTGGCTATACTGTGAAGTTTGTCTGTACTGGAGCAATGTCCGGGGCACGTGCGCCAAGTCTACTGGGGACACGGTCAGCCACGTGTGTATGGGCGACGAGTTCTACCCGGTGATTGCAACTGCCGGCGGTCAGCCTGCAGCCGGGAACACGCAGAAGCTGGACGGCTGGAGCAATGGAGCAGAGAGTAAGTGACTAGCATGTGCTTGCACCATGCACGGTGCGTTGCTTCCAGGTCCTCTTTGCGCTAAAAGCCATCATACGCATATGACTGCTACCTACTTTCCGCAGATCGCTACTGCCAGTGGGTCCGCTGGAATAGCAGCAACTTCGATACGGAGCTGGTCCACTTCACGGTCAAGGACGGCACTGGAGCCTGTCGCGATGGTAAGGAGGAGGGGAGCTCACTGACTCGAATGCATCGCCATGCATCTTGAACGTCCAACATCCAAGTCAAGGTAGTTTGCACAGATGGACCCCGGGCATGATGCACTAACATGCCATGACTTCCTGTCCCCCCTCCCTGAAACCCTGTATGCGCTGCAGCTCCGGGCCCGCTGCAGGTCACCCTCCAGGGCCTCACAGCTACTTGCCAGGCCCCCCGGGTCGTCAATAACACGCTGGCGGGCTGCGGGACTGGAGACCAGGCCAACGAATGTCTGTGGAGCTTCAATGTGCCACGGCCTGGAACGTCTGCGTTTAGATGTGTTTCGTCGCCTGCTAAGCCGCCCGGCCCTCAGTCAGCGCCGCCGCAGCCGCCGTCGCCGGCTAAGCCGCCGGGCCCACAGCCACCACCTCCGCAGCCGCCCTCGCCAGCTAAGCCACCTAGCCCTCAGCCACCGCCGCCGCAACCGCCCTCGCCGGTTAAGCCACCTAGCCCGCAGCCACCGCCGCCGCAGCCGCCCTCGCCAGCTAAGCCACCCAGCCCGCAGCCACCACCTCCGCAGCCACCCTCGCCACCTAAGCCGCCCAGCCCACAGCCACCACCTCCGCAGCCGCCCTCGCCAGCTAAGCCACCTAGCCCACAGCCACCACCGCCGCAGCCGCCGTCGCCACGCGCTAAGCCACCTAGCCCACAGCCACCACCTCCGCAGCCACCCTCGCCAGCTAAGCCGCCTAGCCCACAGCCACCACCTCCGCAGCCGCCCTCGCCACCTAAGCCGCCCAGCCCACAGCCACCGCCGCCGCAACCGCCCTCGCCGGTTAAGCCGCCCAGCCCGCAGCCACCACCTCCGCAGCCACCCTCGCCACCTAAGCCGCCCAGCCCACAGCCACCGCCGCCGCAACCGCCCTCGCCGGTTAAGCCACCTAGCCCACAGCCACCACCTCCGCAGCAGCCCTCGCCAGCTAAGCCGCCTAGCCCGCAGCCACCGCCGCCGCAACCGCCCTCGCCACCTAAGCCGCCCAGCCCACAGCCACCGCCGCCGCAACCGCCCTCGCCGGTTAAGCCACCAATCCCACAGCCACCACCTCCGCAGCCGCCCTCGCCACCTAAGCCGCCTAGCCCTCAGCCACCGCCGCCGCAACCGCCCTCGCCGGTTAAGCCACCTAGCCCACAGCCACCACCTCCGCAGCAGCCCTCGCCAGCTAAGCCGCCTAGCCCGCAGCCACCGCCGCCGCAACCGCCCTCGCCACCTAAGCCACCTAGCCCACAGCCACCGCCGCCGCAGCAGCCCTCGCCGGTTAAGCCACCAATCCCACAGCCACCACCTCCGCAGCCACCCTCGCCACCTAAGCCGCCCAGCCCACAGCCACCGCCGCCGCAACCGCCCTCGCCGGTTAAGCCACCAATCCCACAGCCACCACCTCCGCAGCAGCCCTCGCCAGCTAAGCCACCCAGCCCGCAGCCACCACCTCCGCAGCCACCCTCGCCACCTAAGCCGCCCAGCCCACAGCCACCGCCGCCGCAACCGCCCTCGCCGGTTAAGCCACCAATCCCACAGCCACCACCTCCGCAGCCGCCCTCGCCAGCTAAGCCGCCTAGCCCGCAGCCACCGCCGCCGCAACCACCCTCGCCAGTTAAGCCACCTAGCCCACAGCCACCACCTCCGCAGCAGCCCTCGCCAGCTAAGCCACCCAGCCCACAGCCACCACCTCCGCAGCCACCCTCGCCACCTAAGCCGCCCAGCCCACAGCCACCGCCGCCGCAACCGCCCTCGCCGGTTAAGCCACCAATCCCACAGCCACCACCTCCGCAGCAGCCCTCGCCAGCTAAGCCGCCTAGCCCGCAGCCACCGCCGCCGCAACCACCCTCGCCACCTAAGCCGCCCAGCCCACAGCCACCGCCGCCGCAACCGCCCTCGCCGGTTAAGCCACCAATCCCACAGCCACCACCTCCGCAGCCGCCCTCGCCACCTAAGCCGCCTAGCCCTCAGCCACCGCCGCCGCAACCGCCCTCGCCGGTTAAGCCACCTAGCCCACAGCCACCACCTCCGCAGCCGCCCTCGCCGGCTGAGCCGCCCAGCCCGCAGCCACCACCTCCG